CAATCAGCTGGAGCTGAGAAGCCAGCTGGTGTCCCCCCCCACCCCGCCCCCATCCACAGGCTGTGTTTGGATTCCAGACCCTACCACAGAAGCCTTGGAGCCCCCCAACACACACACACACACACACACACACACACACACGTTCCCCACCTCCTGCAGCCTATGGGACTTTGGTAAGCTCAGCATCCAGTGGAGGCCAATCATGGTAACAGTGGGTGGCTGCGGAGAGCAGCGGGGAAGGAAGTGATCTGCCCAGGCAGCAAATCTAAGCAGAGGAGACGGAGCCATCCTGAAGGCACCAGAGCAGAAACCAAAGAGATGCTGATCCCAAGCTTCCCATTACACACCATATGGATTTTAGGAATGACTTTATTAATAGGAGCACTGAAACGGGAGGGGTCACTTGCTCAGGGCAGCACCACGGCTGGCTGGGAGCGTGGGTGCTCCAGCCAGGAAGGCGCCCCACCACTGAGCCAACCAGCCCTTTTATTAGTTTTTACTTTTTGAGAGAGGGTCTCTAATTACCCAGGCTGGCCTCCTCTTGCCTCAGCCTCCCCAGTAGCTGGGATCCCAGGTGTGTGCCACTGCACCTGGCTGGGAAATGGGCCCTAAGTGTCAATGGTGCTTGAGTCTTTATGAAGTTTGCATTCTTTTGTAGAAAACATCAAAGCTATAATGTTAAGAGAAAGTTAAAACATAACTTGTAGAATTAAGGAAACTATATGACAAATGACAAGTATGTGTGACAAGGACAAGAACATAAGAAATATTTGTCTTCCTACTCCACATCCCGCCCCCTGCTTTTGTTGTTGTGGTGGTTATTTTGTTTGGTACTGAGGGACTAGGGACTGAACCCAAGGAGCACTTTATCATGGAAACACAACCCTTTTCATTTATTTATTTATTTATTTTGGACGGGGGTGGGGTGCCCTACCTCCGAGCTACTTTTTATTTTTTATTTTGAGATGGGGTCTAAGTTGCCCTGCACCTGGCTAAGTTGCTGAGGCTGGTCTTAAACTTGTAATCCTCCTGCCTCAGCCTCCTAAACAGCTGGGATTACAGAGCATGCACCACCTCATTGGTCTCTAAATTTTTTAAATACATAAATTTAATTTCTATATAAGCTCTCGGATCATAAACTTTGTGATGCCAAATTTTACATATAATTAACCAAATATGTATGCTTGAGTGTGTGTGTGTGTGTGTGTGTGTGTGTGTGTGAATACTGAGGAGTAGGTAGTGGACATGGGTTTCATCTGGATCCCACTTTGCTACCTTCTTTCTCTCTGGGTGTCCTGTGCAAGTTAGCAACACTCTCTAAGCCTCCATTCCCTCATCTTCCATGGAGGTAAAGTAGGACCGCTCGTGGGTTGTGGTGAAGATCCCATGAGTAAATGTGTGTCCAGTGGTTGGAATGGAGCCTGAAACATCTCCCTTATGGATTCTGTTGTTGCTGTGTGCAGGGCTGGGAATGGAACCCGGGCCTCATGCTTGCTGGGCAAGTGTTTTATCACTGAGCTACACCCCAACCCATCTCTTGAACTTTTTTTAAATCAAGAAAAAAGTATTTCACAGGTAGATATTCAGCATAATATTTTTATAACAATTTAGATATGATCATAATGTAAAATTGGGTTGATTTTGAAGGAGCCAGGTGCCGTGGCTTGGGAGGCTAACACAGGAGGATCACGAGTTCAAAGCCAGCCTCAGCAAAAAGTGAGGTGCTAAACAATTCAGTGAGACCCTGTCTCTAAGTAAAATACAAAAAATAGGGCTGGGGATGTGGCTCTGTGGTTGAGTGCCCCTGCGTTCAATCCCTGGTTTCCCCCGCTCCCTGAAATTTTTTTTTAAGTGGTGGATCTTCTTATGCACATAAATGAGACACAATTTTAATGTCCAGAAACCTTTGAGACAAGCAGACAATTGCAGCTCACTTCTACACTAGTCTAATAAGCAGCTGTCCTCACAGGGCCGGGAAGCACACCAGGAAGAGGCTGGTAAAGGCAGGCAGGAGGAATGGTGGTGCCCAGCTCAAGGGCAGGCTAAGAGAGAAGAAGGATGTATAATGTCCCTGTCGTCCAGTGACCTTGTGCTGTTGACCCTGGCAATCACACTCAGCCAGGCGCTAGGGGCACCAGGGCTCCTAGTAATAAGCCAGGAGGAAACTGCCCCTCACTCTGAACGGGGCTTGTAGAGGGCAGCCAACAGTAGGGGATCAGGGGAGGGTCACACTGTGAGTCTCCCAGGGGGTGGGCACTGTGGCCTTTGTGGGTCCCTTCCTTCATAAATAAATAGAAAAAATATATGTTTTATTGGTATAAAGATTAATGTACTAATATTCCACCCAAGTTCATTTATCTCCTTCAGATTTTAAAGTGAATTAAACATTCGGTATGCCTCAAGAATATTATGGGCACAAGGTGTCATACCTACTGTGCCTAGTGGTAAAGGCAGTGGGGAAGGGGAAGCTCCTTAGAAACAGAGCCTTAACAAGATCCGCAGAGCCAGGGGAGGTGACGCACTCCTGTAATCCCAGCGACTCGGGAGGCTGCAGCAGGATGGCAGGAGGTCAGCCTGAGCAATTTAGACCCTGTCTCAAAATAAGATTTTAAAAAGGGCTGGAGATGTAACTCTGTGACAGAATGCCCCTGGCTTCAATCCCCAGTACCCAAACAAAACAAAAATAAAACCCAAGATGTGCTGCAATTGTATACAATGAATCAAAATGCATTCTGCTGTCATATATACTTAATTAAAATAAATAAATTAATTAATTAATTAAAATAAAATCCATAAAACAAACAAGCAGACTAATTTTGAATGGGAGACTCACAACTGACCAATGGACTTCCTCTGGGCTTCAGTTGACTTGAGGCCCGAAAGTGAATGATTTCCCCAGGGGAAACTGACTGTCCCCTAGTGCGCCCTCTGCAGGCAGAACCTGTGAACTACCAGCTCCCCAGACCCGAAAGAGCTGCTGGAGGTATTCCTACTAGGGCTACCACTCCCCAATTCCTTCAATGAAATGCAGAGAAATGGTGAACGCACACGCCAACGATTTCATTAGGCGGTTATAATTTCTTCCAGATGTGCCTGGCACGAAACTGAGTGGCTCTGATGCAGCACAAAGTCAATAGTCAAAGTACTGTCTCGCATTTTGCAAACAAGAATACAATATCCTAGAAATAGGTGAAGAGTTCGAACGCTTTGGAAAAGCCAGCAACACACCGGCAACTCAGTAGTAGTGAGCATGGGAGACATGATGACCCTAGCGACCTTAAAATCAATGCACAGAGTCGGGCTTCAACTGTACTCACCTATTCTGAGTATAGACTTGTATTTTCACTTTTATCCTCATTAAGGTTTAAGCCTTCTTGCTGCTTCTGAGTCTTAGGTCCAAGTCTAATTTCTGAAAGGAGGAAGACTGCTGTCTAAAGATGACTAATATACTCAATCCTTACAACCTTAATGGATTCCCTTTTTAAAATTATTTATGTATTTATTTGGTACTGGGGACTGAACCCAGGGGCATTTCACCACTGAGATACATCTCCAACCCTTTTTATTTTTTATTTTGAGACAGGGTCTCATGAAATTGCTGAGGCTGGCCTTTAATTTGTAACCCTCCTGCTTCAGCCTCTTGAGTCACTGGGATTACCAGTGTGCTCCATTGGGCCGAGCTAGGTTGATTTCCTTTTGTCAAATGGTTCCATTTACTAGTTGGTGGCCCAGCTTTAGCCTTCTTAATGGTTTTACCTAGGACACCCAGTATGGCTTTAAATACTACTGAATTTAATGTAGCAACTGTACAAAGAATTACAGGTCATTTCCTAACAAATGTGTAGGGTAGGCATTGTTGCATTCCAAACAAGAGGTCAGACATTGCTTAATTAGTCCAAGGTAAGGCACCTCCTTAAGGATAGATTCTGAGTTTGGATCCAAGTCTGTATCCAAAGGGGATGTTTGTATATCAGGAGCATCGTCCTTCCAATGAATGTGCCTAGACACAGCCAGAAAAGCATCCAAGCAACTGAAAGCTGAGCAGCATGGGCCCCTTGGAGAACCATCTCCCCAGATCCCATGTGTTCTGGAGTTGCCCCGACCTGAAAAACCAGACGGTGACCTGGCAGCTGAGACCCACACCAGCTCACCTAGGAACCAAACACAGGTCCCAGTGATACCGCCAGTTACCACTGACTAGTTCTGCTTCCTCAGATGTTGAAGTATAATATTGGAGAAGCATGTACAGGCAGGCATATAAAGCAGGGTTTACTTAAAAAGCGGTAACATAGGGCTGGAGTTGTGGCTCAGTGGTTGAGCGCTTGCCTAGGGATGCATGAGGCACTGGGTGTGATCTCCAGCATCACATAAAAAATACTAAATAAAAGTATTGTGCCCATCTACAACTAAAAAATATATGTATTTTTAAAAAGCGGGTAACATAGGCTTCTCCCTCCCCTCCCGGGAGGGAGAAGGGGGCCATAGCCGGTATCCTGGAATCCCAAGAAGTGAAGGCGGTCTGGCTTCCTTTGTTCTCTGCTCTCTTCCCCTTTTCTCTCTCTTTCTAGGCCCAGGAGATGCCCAGTGGGATGGCCAAAAGGTGGGAAGCCCTGGGCTGGAGAGGCCTAGTTGGAGTGATCTGGGCAGGAGGGGGAGTAATTTACAACTCCCTGTAGGGAGGGACAGTCCCTGGGGCAGGTTGCCTTAGCAACAGGTAGGAGCAGGGGCAGGTGGTCGTGACAGGGGTGGAGGAAGGCTCTGAAGGAGTTAACACGTCAATCCCTCCGTTCTCCGGGTCCGACCCTTGCCTCCCTGCTGTCTATCTCTGGCTGCACCAGGACCGAGGTGACCGGGACCCGGGACAGGGAGAGGGTGCGGGGTTTCTCCCGCCGCAGCCGGGAGCTAGTATTTACGTACAAATGAACGCCGCACCCCGGGAGAGGTGACAGCTGTCCTTTCCCGCCCCGGCCCAACCTTCCGGGTGGAAGACGCGCTGGGAGCGAAGCCTCGCGGCGATGGCCTCGGGCGCTGCGTCCGCAGCCAGAGGGTGGAGAGAGCGCTGCTCTAGCCTCGGCCCCGGCCGCCTGGTGCTCCGCAGCCCGCGCGTCCCCGCCGCCCGCTCGCTCCGCCCGCTTCCCGCGACCCTGCGCTCCTGTGCGCGCGCGCGCTTGCCTGTTCCTGCAACTGTCGCCGCTGCAGCCTGGGCCATGGCGACCAGCTTTCGGCTGCAGAGCTGCTGGGGCCCCAGCCTCGCGCGGGCGCCTCTAGGCCGCCTCCTCCGCCCCCGCGCCGGCTGCTCGGCGCCGGGCCGGGCCCAGCTCCGCAGCTACGCCGGCGGCCCGGGGGGCCTCTCTGCAGCGCTGCTGCGCACCGAAAGCTTCGTGGGCGGCCGCTGGCTCCCGGCCGCCGCCACCTTCCCCGTGTACGACCCAGCCAGTGGCGCCACGCTGGGCATGGTGGCCGACTGCGGGGTGCCCGAGGCCCGCGCCGCCGTGCACGCCGCCCACGAGGCTTTCTGCAGCTGGAAGGTGGTCTCGGTCAAGGTGAGAGTGCGCCGGGTGCAGGGGGCGAGCGCTGGCCCGGGACCGGAGCCGAGTACCCGGCTTAACTCAAAAGCGAAAACAGCCGCTACATCTCCCTCTCGCCCTCAATTTCCTGGGGTACACACTGCAGAAAGAGCAACAAGAAAGGACACAAACAAGAGATAAGTTTGGAGCTTCAGTGCCAAGCGCTGTGGCGGGCGGTGGAGAATGGCCTCTGCTCTCAAGTCTCCGGGAGCTCACTGTCCAGTAGGGGAGGCAGGGCACTGGCGCGCGACCCCAGGACCAGTCTTGGTGTAGGGTGGTCGGATGAAGCAGTCCGCTTAGGCTGCCTTACAGCACCGCGGACTGGGAGACGGAGGTTTTCTCACAGTTCTGGAGGCTGAAAGTCCAAGGTCAAGGGGACAGCCGGCTTGGTTTCTTCTGGGATCTTGCTCCCTGGCTTGCAGGTCGTATCTCTTTGTGTGATGGCATTCTAATAAGAACACCAGCCCTATTGAATTAGGGCCCACCTAGTAACCCCATGTTAATGTTATCACCTCTTTAAAGACCTTATCTCCACATGCAGGCACGTTGTGATTAGGAGTTCAACATAATGATTGGGAGCAGACCCTTTCAGCCTGTAACATCAAGATGGACCTCACTTAGGTGTGAGACCCAAAGAACAAAAAAAAGGAGCAAGTCAGGAACCTGCCTGTCCTGTTGGCAGAACAGAAGGAGGCACTTTGGCCAGTCAGGACTGCGCAAGGTTAAGAGGCCGGGAAAGAGAACCAGAGGAGGGCCCTGGGTGGTTGGGGACGCAGGGCCCATTCTCAGGACTTTGGGTTTTACTCTGGATGAGGTGGGGGCCATGGCAGGGTTTTAAGCAGAGATATGATCCGATTTAGATTTTGGAAGACGCTCTGGCCATGGTGCTGTGGGACTGAAGGAGGACAGCAGAGGAACTGGAGACCTGTTAGGAGGTGTGCTGGCAGGTTCTGCCTTGATAATGAAATTCGGAGTCAGGCTGATTTTATGAAGAAAAGAGGTTTATTTAGCAGTTTTGGAGGCTGAAAGTCCAAGACAAGGCAGCCCCCATGGACTTGGCCTCTGGTGAGGGACTGATGGCAAATGGCAGTGCCCTAGTGGGAGCAGGTGCAGGAGCAACTGGTTACAGGTCCGGACAGGAAGCCAGAGAGAGCTCGAGGTCCGGCTCACTCTAACCACTCTCCCTTTCAAGAACTTACCCAAGCTCCTAGGAGAAGGGCTTTGATCCCTTCTAAGGGCACGCCTCGGGTGACCTGGGGATCTTCACTAGGGCCCACCCTCTAAGGTCACCACACCGAGGACCCAGCCTCCAGCATGTGGACGACTGGGGGACCAACCACCTGTTGGTGTGATTTAGGTGCAGATGGTGACAAAACTAGACAGAATGGGGAGTGGTGACAAGTGGTGCCATCACGGATGTGTTTTGAAGGTAGAGCCAGCTGTGTTTTCCAGCAGCATATTATGGGATATAAGAGAGAGAAGGCAGTGCTGGACCCAGGACTTTGGGCCTGAGCGACTGGGAGAATGGAGTAACTTCCAGCTGAGATAGTCCAGTGTGAGATGCAGGTCGCCTGGGAGATCCCTAGGACGTGCGAGTGAGGCTGTACCCAGGCAACTGGACATGTCACCTGGAGTTGAAACACAAGCCCTGGGCTCAGATGCATGTGTAGAAGGCACACGTGTGCATCGTGTATGTTCTCGGTTGGTCAGGTCCTCCTCCTACACCCTCTCGCATCATCTGGGTCTCAGAAGGGCTCTACTGTCACAGTGCCGGGTTGCAGGGAGCTCCTTCAGTCCTGTTGGTGGGGGGCAGCCTCAGGGCCAGTGCCAGGGCCTCTGGCTGACATTGGTAGCCTCAACGTGGTGCTGAGAGGGTGGTGTCGGTTCCCTGAGGGCCCGTGGTGGTGGGAGGTGAGCAGCAGAAGCCATGGGGGACAGCAGTGATTCCCCTCCTAGCCTCTGAGGCCTTTCTTCCTGGGTCTGTTCTCCGTGATCCAGGCCTAGGAGCATCCCTGCTTCTTGAACTGGTAGTTACTGGAGGGCTTGTAGGATAATGCATTGATTTCCTACAGCTTCCTAAAAAATTTCCGTAAATTCAGAAGCTTGAAACGATACAAATTTATTCTCATGCAGGTTTTTTTTTTTTGTGTGTGTGTGTGTGTGCATGTGGTGCTGGGCCTTGTGCATGCAAGGCAAGCACTCTGCTAACTGAGCTATGTCCCCAGCCCCTCATACAGTTTTGGAAGTTAGAAGTCCAAAATGCTGGGGAGGGCTTTGTTCCTCCTGGAAGTTCCAAGGGACAATCCATTTCCCTGCCTTTCCCAGCATCTAGAAGCGGCCGGTGCACCTTGACCCATGACCTTCATCCCTCCAGCCTCTGCATCCATTGCCACATAGCGCTCTCCAACATTGACGACATTGACAGTGACCCTTCTGCCTCTCATAGTTCTCCTGACTGCAGTGAGTCCACCCAGATGGTCCGGGATGGTCTCCCCACTTCAGGGTCCTTGATCACGTCTGCAAAGCCCCTTTTGTCATGTCAGGTAACAGTCATCGTTCCAGGGACTGGGGCATGGACATCTTTGAAGGCCGTCACTGTACCCCAACACAGCCAAGTACTGTTCTCGGTGCTGTGCCCGTGTTGGCTTTGGTCCTTTTGGTGGCCCCCTGCAGTAGACTGATTCGTGTCGTGGGTGAGGAGATGGCTGAGAGAAGCCACAGTGCACCATCCTCGCTTCCTCCCAGTGGGGAGCTGCAGTCGGGGCCCCAGGTGCCCGTCCATCATTCCGCCTCTCAGGAACCCTGAGTCTTGCACATCCACACAGCCCCTGGCTCAGATTGTACAAACGGTCTCCATATCAGGATGGTTTAAGCTGGGATTATTCAACTTCTCGCTGGTGTGTGAGTGATGTGCATCCAGTGGACACTGAACTCGGGATTCCGAGTTGTGATCTTCTCCCAGGTGGCCACATGCGGTGGGACACCGTCTCTGATGCTACCGGGCAGCAACAGTGAGCCACATTCCCCAGCAGACATGGTATTCTCCAGCACACTGTGCGGCTCTTTCCCACTTCCACTGGGTTTATGTGTAGAAAGCACAATTATAAATCGAGACGCGTGTGTATTAGTTTTCTACAGCTGCTGTAACAAAAGGCTGTCAACTGGGAAGCTTAAGCAACAGACACTTAGATCTCGGGTCTGGAGGCAGGAAGTCTGAGATCAAAGTGTTGCTGAGTTCAAAGTGTTGAGGGCTGCGAGGGAGGGACTGTTCAGGCCTCTCTGCTGGGCCTGTAGGTGGCCCTTTCCTGGTATCTCTTCACATCGTCCTCGTAGGTGTGTTTCTGTGCCTGTATCCAGACTTCTTTCTGTAAGGTCACCATCCTACTGGATGATCTCATTTTACCTTGAACCTCTCATGAGACCAGTAAGGTCACTAAGGTGTGGGGGTTAGGACTCCACCACCCCTGTTTTGGGCACAGTTATTCACGGCATGCCCAGGGCTCTGCACACCACCTTCAGCTGGCTCCTGCCTGCACAGGTCCATGTGTTCAGTCTGCAGAAGCCCCCCTCCTTACAGGTCCCTCGCTTTTCCATCCTTGTCTTCTTCTGGGACTCGGCCTCAGGTCTATTCAGTAGTTTGTTTACTCAGATATTTAATCTGCTTCTGAGCCAGGCCTCCGAGGCTCTCTCACCCAGAGTAACCCGGGGCACCAGGCCTGTGGTCAACAGATTCTTCACTGGTGCTTCACGGGGGAGCGCGGATAAGATGTAATTACTCTACTGACGCAGCTTTTGCCTCTTCTCCAGGGTTTTGTGTCTTTTACTACAATTTGAATTTTTTCCTCCTAAGATGGGGTCGTCCAGACTGGCTGGTCTGAAACTCCCAGGCCCCAGCAGCCCTCTCACCTGAACCTCTCAAGTAGCTGGGCACCTGGCCCAGCTAAAAAAATAATAATAACTTTTAAAAGTAGGAGACTGTCGCTTCGTGTGGTAAAGTTGATCTTGTTTCCTATCAACAGTGCTAGCTGTCTCCACAAGACTTTTGTGATTTATGGCTCCGAATACCTTGGGTACAACTTAATATTGTCTGTGTCATTACCTATCAAAGAAGGGTCGATACACGTCTCCCCAAGTGTAGGGCTCTCCAGAGAAACAGCCAACAGGACCTAAACAGGGATACATGGGAAGAGAGTTACCGTGAGAACTGACCTCGTGAGGGTGGAGGCCAGGGGTGCCGGGGTGAAGTTCCAGTCTAGAGGCCCGAGAAAGGGGCGTGCCTGCCCCAGGGCGGAAGATGAGGTCCCAGAGACAGTGAGTTGGCCGTTCCTTCCCCTTCTTGCTCTGTCTGGTCCTCGGTGTTGAATGTGGCCCAGGTGCATTGGTGAGGGCCGGCTTTCTTGACCGTCACCAAGTCAAATGCTCCTCTCTTCTGGACACTCACAGCTGTCCGCACCCCGCAGCCCAGCGACACTGGCCCCGGACACAGCCCCTCCCGCCCTGCTGGTGCTTCAGGAGGTCTCTGTCTTGCAGGTGACATTTCATCCCCCTCTGCCTTGCTGTGTTTCAGGAGAGGAGCTCACTGCTTCGGAAATGGTACGACCTAATGATGCAGAACAAGGGCGACCTGGCCAAGCTGATCACAGCGGAAAGCGTAAGTATAGTTCCCGCCACGGCACCCGGACAGACTGTTCCGGAAAGTTCAGACTCGGCCTTTGGGGAGCCTCTCCTTCCCCCAGTGCTGCTCTGGGGCCGGAGAGCACTCGATTCCTTGTCTGCTGAGCAGAGGCCAAGTCCCTGGGCCTGGCGGGCACATCAGTAAAACAAAATTTGTATGTTCTAGTTCATTCTTTGCTGATTTGCAGAAATTGATTTTGTCGGGAGCTACGTGAATACTCCCTTTGCACCCTCCCAGGTCTTCCCTAAGTGACGGCTTTGATGTGTCCTAGATTTTGTGTGTTTCTAAGTGCACAGTAGTTCCTCCCTCGCTGTGAAGAACGATTTCACCCTGGGTTTCCCACTGAGGAGCTCTTGGAAGAAGGAAACCTTAGAAGGCGCAGTGCCAGTTCATCCTAACTTGTAGGCACGTGGAGACCGCGCACGCCCTGGTGGCCGGGGGCCACTCTGCTCTCTGGACTCACCCGTCAGGGGTTTCCCAGCAACTCTGTGTGTCATCATGGGGACTTCTCACTCCCTTGCCACCTTGAAGGATTCAGGAACACCGCCTCGCACTTTTTATCAGGAGGCATGAGCGGGTCCTTTTCTGTCTAGGGGAAGCCGCTGAAGGAGGCAGAGGCAGAAGTCCTGTACTCGGCCCTCTTCCTGGAGTGGTTTTCAGAGGAAGCCCGCCGCATCTACGGAGACGTCATCTACCCCAGCGCCAAGGGCAGGCGGGCCCTGGTGCTCAAGCAGCCCCTGGGAGTGGCTGTAGTCATCACCCCGGTGAGTGAGAGGCAGGAGCAGCAGGCGGGGCAGGTGGGGTGGGCGTGGGAAGTAGTGTTCTTCCTCCTGCCAGGTGAGCGCCTCCAGTTTGATTTCCTGGTTCCTCTGTGGGATGCGGAGGTGTGGGGCCCTCTGTGATAGGCCAGCTGTGGTGACAGGAGTGCGTGTGGAAGGGGGACGGCCTGCAGGAGGACCTGGAGGACCCGGGCTTTGTGACTCAGCATGAGGGCTTCCTCTGGCCTGGCCTAGCGCCTCTGAAGAGATCTGGGAGTCAGCATTTTGTTTGCTTTTTTCTTTGGGGGTGGGGGGGGGGTGCATTACTGGGGATTGAACTCAGGGGCACTCAACCACTTGCCCATGTCCCCAGCCCCACTTTGTATTTTATTCAGAGACAGAGTCTCACTGAGTTGCTTAGCACCTCGCCATTGCTGAGGCTGGCTTTGAACTTGCAATCCTCCTGCCCCAGCCTCCCAGGCTGATGGGATTATGGACATGCGCACTTTTAAATGTGCCTTTGTTTGGAAAATTTTTGTTTAACTTGGGGTTCTCACAGTAGCAGAGCATCTGGGCACTTACCGGCAGGGTTGGAGGGCAGAGGCTGCGAAGTACGGCTCAGCGTCTGCCTGGTTGGGACCGCCACTCGCTGCCTGCATAGCAGCCCTCCCACCCCACTGTCTCAGGCCTTCTCTCCAGTACCTGCCACGGGTCAGGAGGCCACTGTCCCTTCCTGCTCAGCACAGGTGCCTGTGGGATCCTCTTTCCTGCTGGGACTTTGACCTGACGGTTACTGTTTACCAGTCATGTGACCATGGGCAAGTTCTGGGACCGTTGCCTCAGTTTCCCCAAACCTGTAAATGAGGACAGCAGTAACTCTGACCTCATCCAGATGCGATAAGGATTGGATTATGGTTTTGAAGTGCTTAGAACAATAACTGACGTAGATTAACTCTATGTTTGTTTGTCAGAGTGAAATGGCTTTATAGATATGTAGACGTGTATCATAGATATCGTAGCTATCTAGATATGTAGGTGTATATTATAGATTATCATAGCTATCTAGATATGCAGATGTCTCTAGAGTCTACAAAATGTATGCAGAAGGAAGTCATAAATCATACGCCATTTTCAATATCACAACCCTAATATCTCCTGCCAAGGACCTCAGGACAAATCCAGCCTACTGCTTGTGTTTTTAAATAAAGTTTTATTGGGTCACACCATGTCCATTTGTGTACATCTTCTCTTTGGTGACTTTCCTGATGCAACTGCAGAACTGAGCAGTTGGGAAAGAAACTAGATCCCACAACGTCTGAGAACCTTACTGGCCCTCTGCAGAAGACACTGGTCCAGAGAGTTTTGTACTGCGTCATATTCCAAAACTGCTCCCTATCTTTATGAACCTTTCCCTCCTGGGTCCCTCAGGTGGGCGGGGCCAGGTGTTCTGAGGTCACCTGGGCAGCTGGAGAACAGGTTTGCTAGTCAGTTGTGCAAGGGGGTTGTTGACTGACTTCCTGCCCTGCCTTCCCCTGGACTGTCCAGGCAGCTCTCAATGTGTGCTCTGCTCTTTTGATCCCAGTGGAATTTCCCCAGCGCCATGATCACCCGGAAGGTGGGGGCCGCCCTGGCAGCTGGCTGCACCGTGGTGGTGAAACCTGCAGAAGACACGCCCTTCTCCGCCCTGGCCCTGGCCCAGGTGAGCCTCTGAGCTGAGTCCAAAGGGAGCAGGCAGAGCAGTCTGCAGCCTCCTTCTCTGCCTGTGTCTCCCACTGCGTGGTGTTTTAGTCCTCTGGAAGTCAAGTCAGATACTCTTTTTCCAAAAAAAACTAGATGGGGATTTCCTTGTACATTCAGACCATGTGTTCTTTAGGCCACCCTAAAAATGACATTTATCCATCATCTTCATTAAACGGGCACTAAAATGTAGGCATGTCTCACTTTTAGAAGAGCACATACTTTCTCTTTCTGTCTCTTGTTAGTGGGGATGGGACCCAGGGGTACTGTCCCACTGAGCCACAACCCCAGCCCCTCCCCCTCTGACATAAGCATCTTGTGTGCAGCTGTTAGGGTTAATGAGCCAATACTGACACGTCATTAACATATTCAGATTTTCTTAGTTTTCACCTCGTTCTCTTTTCCTGTTCTGGGATCCCGTTCTGGTCACCATGTGGCATTTGGATGTCCCATCTCCCTAGGCCCCTCTGGGCCGGGAGAGTCGCAGTGCCTGTACCCACACTGTCAGGGCCGTGCCCGACAACGCTCCTGCCTGCTGTGTGCAGGGGCCCCTTCATGCTCCTGTCCTCGGCTCTGCAGGCCAAAGATGTCTACTGGACTCTCCTCTGAATTTTCTTTCTTGGGAAAGAAATCCAAGGTTGTTTAAACAGAAGGTGGCATTGAAACTCGTTCCCTAGGAGATTTTATCTTAATGACATTTGGCAGCACATTAATACTGGCATCACTTTAGCACTATGAGTCTTATTTTAGTTCCAAATATAATTGTGGGGGCTGAGATGGAACCGAGGGCCTCACTCATCTTAAGTACGTGCTCTACCAGCAAGTTACACGCAATCCCCTCAAATATGTTTTTTTCTGTCCCAAAGATCAGCTTAAGTTTTCACAGTACCTTTAGATTAAACATCTATTTCTTTCTCTTTTCATTTTTTCCCAGTTTGGTGATTTGTGGCCATGTGTTTCTGTTTCTCTGTAGCTTGCAAACGAGGCCGGGATCCCACCCGGCGTGTACAACGTGGTCCCTTGCTCTAGGTCCAAGGCCAAGGAGGTGGGGAAAGCACTCTGTACTGACCCGCTGGTGTCCAAGATCTCCTTCACAGGGTCCACGGCGACAGGAAAGGTATGCGATTCAAGTCCCAAGGAAAGAAAGTTCGTTCTAGCGTTTTCTTTACGTAGCGTAAAACAGCAGCTTACCCTGAGCACTGTGTGTAGACAGGTCCTAGCTCCAATAACGTCGTGTCTGAGCGCCCCCCGGAGGCCCCTGGCCATGGTTGCATGGTCCTCCCTGTTGGGGTGCTCCTGGGCTCCAGGTCCACAGCAGCTAAGGAGCTGGACAGCAAGCTTCCCGTCACTTCCCCGACTCCTGCCTGCCAAGCGGCTGCAGGCTCTCTGGTGTGTGCTCTCCAATCCTCAGTGCTTGTTTCTTTCACAGTCTGGATTGGCGATTCCAGAAACAGGACTCATGCTGAAATGGGTGTCTTAGAACTGAACAAAGGTGGGCGCAGCCCAAGGGAACTTACAGACGTGGAAACATCTTTTAACAGTTTATTTTTTCCCCTAAATGTTGAGAAGGTCTTTCCTCAAGACACCACGTGTGTGCCTCTGAGTACATTTTTATTTATCCTTCTATGTGTTTTCAAAAGAGAAAACTGTCAGGGCAGAACCAAAGTTGTTGGCGGTGTTTCCAGACAGTGTGCTCCACCCTCCGAGTTCACATGTGCATGAATGCGCATGCACTCCTGCGAGATGTGCCATAAACATACACGTAAACACGTAAAAATGATGCAAACCTAGGCTGAGAGTTTTTATGAAACTGGTCACTTTATAGAAAGCACGAGGAGCAGGGGTGAATAATGCCGATGGTGTAGAATTCCCAACGTAAGCCATTTGTCACCCCATAAACTCACACTCAGGGGTGGCATCTTGGAATTCCATCATTCCTATCAAAACAGGAATCTCAGGTCCATAAACTGCCTGCAGACGTCACTATGAGGTGGCCGGAGAGCCGGGGACGAAGGGCTGCCAACCTCTGCCGTTCCACCCTGAGACCCAGGAGCTGGGCAGCAGCACCCACCCCTGGGGGCTTCTCCAGTGACTCAGCGACGTCGTCACCTGTCCGGGCTCCAGGAAGCCTCCAAGCTGGGTCCCGCCAAGCCCGGCTCTGCATCTCTTCTCCCAACACAGCCATCTGCCTCAAGTGACGCAGGGAAAAGTGACAATATGGCCAAAACAATGACGGGGCTGGTGTTGCCCACTGGTCCAGCACCGATCTGCAGTCTAGTGCCTCCCTGAAGTGACCTCACAGACCGTCAGCACTGACCCCTGGTCCTCGGGCGCAGTCTTGCTGTCCTCTGGGGCACAGGGTGACCTCTGTTGGACAAGCCTGAGCTGCGCCCACCTCCTTCTCAGGCAGCTGCCTCCCCTGGCCCTGCTGAGGGACAGCACTCAGCACCTGGCCTCTGCCACACAGAGAAGGGACAGGAGCAGTCACTGAGGGAAACGGAACTTCCCGGCTGGCCGGTGAGGTGACCCAGGCATAGAAGGGAGCCGGACCAGTCACGTCCCTCCTGGGGAGGTCGGCAGTGGGAACCGGGCCAAGAGGACTCACTAGGAGGGGCAGGGGTTGGGGCAGTCCTGGGGGCTGTGGCCGGCCAGAGCAGGCAGCCATGCTCCGGGAGGTGGAGGCCGAGTCGGGAGAAGATGCTGTCAGAGAACTCAGAGCAAGCGATGTGGGGGACAGGCACCACGGGAAGGGCCTGTGCCCAGGGCTGGTGGAGGTGACATGGAGGCCCAATGGGGACCCCGCAGTGAGGATCCTCATCACACTGGTGCAGATTCAGCATTTCTTAAGGATTCAAAAGGGAACTTGGGTCCGCTGACGAAGTCTGTTTGATCTTTCAACTTGTGCTGCTTGTTGGATGGCAGCTCCTGGGTGGCACGTCTGATGGCTAGAATGGCACAGAACAGAACCAGGGCAGGTGCAGCTGTCATACATTCTGGATTTCTACTGGGGCCTCAGCATGCACGTCACAGGGGGCTGTGTCCGAGAGCAGCCTGGGTCTGTGAGCACCACCCATGCCCCTGAGCCGTCTCGAGCATTGCTCTTTCTCAGCTTTGACTGAACCAAGACCTATGTCTTGTCATAAAGAATTTCAACATCCTGAGCAGCTTCTCAGCCCTTGAAATCTCTTATTGGATATTGAGTCTAATCGTTGTATCTACCAAAAGCCTTACACTGGTGCATTGAGCTGACAGGTCTACAAATTTATCCTGAGGGATTAGTCACAGTGCTTTTAAGTAGCAAGGAATTGGAAATAACCTGGATGTCCAGCAGATGGGGGTGGATAAATATGCTATGGTACAACCATACAGGGGAATACTAGGCAGCCATCTAAAGGAATGTTCTGGAAACAGGCATGCTGACATGAGAAGATTTGCATAAGCAGGTACTACATTGAAGGGGCAAGATGTACAGAGTTATGAACATGTTAAGAAGTTCCCTAGGTTGGTTGGAAAACTATTTCTTTTTAACCATATTCTGTGTTAAAAAAGTACGTATGCATGGATTTGGAATACATACCAAACTGTTTCCAGTGGTAATCCTTAAGTTGTGGCATTCTGGGTGGTTTTATTACCCTGTTCCTGTGTTCCGGATTTTAAGATGCAGCCGCAGCTGTGTGGCTCAGACAGCAAGACGTTAGCCCTGGACCTTGAGAGCCTGGCGCTACCTGGTCTCCGACCCCTCCTCCCCTCTATAAGTAATTATTTATAGAGCTGCTCTTGTCTTCCCCGGGCTCTTCATCAAGTACAAGCAAATAGGAACGCACACTCTCATTTCTCCCTCTCCTTGTGCGATCGTCTTTCCAGACGCGCCGCGTGCACCCTCTTTTCTTCTTGGCTGGGTGGCTTTGTAGACGAAGGCTGAGCGCCTGGCAGCTGACTGGTGCTCACCACCCTCTCCCCCGCCTGCAGGTCCTGCTGCACTATGCCGCGGACTCTGTGAAGAGGGTCTCCATGGAGCTGGGCGGCCTTGCCCCGTTCATTGTCTTCGACAGCGCCAACGTGGACCAGGCCGTGGAAGGGGCGCTGGCGTCCAAATTCAGGAACGCTGGACAGGTGAGTCCTGGGGCGTTACTCGGGGTTTGAGGGAGCAGGTGTGTGTGTTCCCCTCTGCTGCCTCCTGAATCCCACACCACTCATTCTCATTTGATTATTCGGGAGACATTTAGGAGGCACCTTCTTCCTAGGGACTGCGCCAGGCATGGATAGTCCAAAGGGAAGGGAGGCAGGCTCTAGCTTCAAGAGCTTCCTGGACCCTGATGGTTCTTGTTCTCCTCTCTCTGCCCTTTCAACCTGATTGCTTTCATAGGTTTCCGTCCAGTGAGGGCCTGTCTTCACTTAACTGATGCAATCATCTCAGATGCGAAGCAGCCTTTAACAGCCAAGATCTGAGGCCCAAAGTTTTATTTCTTGGTACTGGAAATTGAACCCAGGAATGCTTAACCACTGAGCCACGGCCCCATTCCTTTTTATTATTTTTATTTTCTATTTTGAGACAAGGTCTCCCTAAGTTGCTTAGGGCCTCACTAAGTTGCTGAGGCTGGCCTTGAACTTATGATCCTCCTGCCTCAACCTCCCGAGTGACTGGGAGTGTAGGTTTGCACCAGTGCACCCAGATAGTCCCTTAGTCTTAAGAGAAAGAAGTTAGAAAAACGTCAGGACAAAACCTGGAGAAATTCACAGCCCTGCTGCCTCCAAAGACCTGCCTGGGCCTCATTCTTCCTGAGACGGGGCATCAGAGGTACCAGATGCAGGACACAGGGGCAAAGAGCCGGACTGTGCCCGGACATGTCTTGGGAGAGTGGAGGCCAAGCTCACATCGGACAGGAAACCCTGGAATCTCAGATCTGGCAGGGACCTTTCAAGTCATCTGATGTAGGTCTTGCATTTTCCAGATAAGAAACTAAAACTGGGGGTGGTGGCTGTGGCTCAGTGGTAGAGCACTTGCCTAGCATGTGTGAGGCACTGGGTTCCATCCTTAGCACCACGTAAAAAAATAAAAATAAGGATATTGTGTCCACCTGCAACTAAAAAAAATTTCAAGAAAAGAAGAAAGAAACAAACTGTAAAAAGACTGGGTAACTGAAGGGTCACTGAGCCAGTGATCCTACCCTGTCCCCTACTTCTATCCATGTGGTTGCATGGAGTCTGGCTTCTTAACAAGTACTCTTAAGCATTTGGCCTTAAAAGTATCATCAGTAAACTTGGTGCAGGGGCACACACCTGTAATCCCAGGACTCAGGAGGCTAAGGGAAGAGGATCCCAAGTGAAGGCCAGCCTTGGCCATTGTCTCGAAAAATGAACGGCACTGGGGATGTGGCACAGTGGTCGAGTGCCCTGAGCTCAAATGCCAGCATTTAAAGTAGATAAATGAACATGTGCATCACCAATAAGCACTTTTAAATGTTTCTCCAGAAACAGAGTCAGGGTTCCGGAAGGTCCCGTGTGAGAATGGGTGCTGTTTGCTGCTCCCTGTGCACAGCCTGCACCTCGCTGTGGCCTCGAGCGTACCTCCCCCTTCACATGTCAGTGCAGATGCGTTCAGAGCCCGGCCGGTTCCCTCTGCAGACACAGAATGCCACCTGCCCAGCCTCCAGTGGCCTGTGCGCTGGTCTCTGGACCCGAGCGCCCTGGGAGGTGGGCCCTGGGAAGTGGTTCCACAGCGAGGCGGCAGGCGGCAGCAGCGAGGTTCCTGGTTGGACCGACCGCTGACCCGGGGCCGGTTTTCCTCTTCCATCTAGACCTGTGTTTGCTCCAACCGATTCTTGGTGCAAAGGGGGATCCACGACTCCTTTGTCAAAAAGTTTGCCGAGGCGATGAAGGTGAACCTGCGTGTGGGCAATGGATTTGAGGAGGGGACCACCCAAGGCCCCCTGATTAACGAGAGAGCAGTAGAAAAGGTGAGTCCGCCTTCGTCGGTGGGAGTGACTTCTGCGCTTTCAAATCCAGAGCCTGGCTGAGCAAGTCGCCTGAGTGAGGTGGGGAGTCGGCAGTCCCACGGCTGGCACATCCCTGGCCCTCGGCTTCTGTGGCTGTCACGATGGGGGTCCATGGATCCTGTGAGATCCACCGAGGGTCCTCCCGGCCCGCCTGAGCTTTCCACCACAGAGGGGTCAGTGACTTTGGCTCCTAGGACACGCACGGGTTACTGCTGGTCTAGTGAAGGCAGCTTATCCTCGTTCAAATCCTAAAAGTGATGATTGTCACCCACTGCTGTGCCTTTTACGACTGGAGCTGCCTGGCCCCCCCAGGGTCCTGAGGTTGATGTGTCTACCCAGGGCCCTGGTTTTGGGTTTAGCTGGGTTCTGCTGGTGCTGGGGTGGAACCCAGGGCCTTAAACATGCGGGGAAGTACTCTCCACCGAGCTGCGCCCAACCCAGCAGTGGGTCTCAGTGCCTCAGGTGGTGCTGATCCAGCCCTCTGGGAGCCAGCTTGGGAGTGATTTTTCCCCCAGTGAGTGTGGCGCCGTGGCCCTGGACGGTGCCGTGCGCGGGGACTTCCCAGTGAGTGTGGCACCGTGGCCCTGGATGATGCTGTGCCCTGGGACTTCCCAGGACCTGTCGCAGGATTTCCATCTCAGTGGAAGGAGGCTGGGTACAAAGGGCGCTGTTCAGAAACAATCTGTGGGGCTAGGATGGAGCTCTGTGACAGAGCCCCCGGCCAGCATGCAGGGGGCCCTGGGTTCCATCACCAGCACCACAAACAATAAACAAAAATAAAGGGAAACAATGTGTCGGGTTGGCTTTGGCCGGACAGACCCTCACAGACCGTTATGGAGTAGATCCCGAGGAAAAGACTTCCATGACACTTCAGAAAAGAGCAGGAAAGGGCCCATGGAGGACAGGGTAGGGGAGAGGGTGGGGCTGGGTTGGTAAGCAGAGTTGTGTCCCAACTCCAATCCTGGAGCAGGCCCCGCGCTAATGGGCACACTGTGAGGGCGCTGCAGGACGCGCCCAGGCCTGTCTGATCTCTTCTGAATCTGAGCTGGGGGAGGGCTCCAAGGGGGCAGAGGCTGTGAGGGACCTCTGTGGGCAGCAGGCTGAGTCCGCACACGTGGGGCAGATGGAGGGACCCAGAGGCGCGTTTGGGATGTGGCCTTCTGGAGTGGAGTGGGGTAGAGGAGGGAGGGTGAAGCAGGTGGACGCACCAGGGCCCTTCTCTGGGTCATCGCACTCCACCCCTCCCCGCACAAGACGGCCCCTTGGCACTTCTAAGGTCACGCAGTCTGCGCCCCTTGGCACTTCTAAGGTCACGCAGTCTGCCTTGAGGGATGTGACTGCACTTAGAATGTGCCAGAACAAAACGAAGGTGCTGCCCAGACTGGAGCTGCACAGAGTGTGGGAAAGCCCAACCCAGGAGACTGCGGCGGAGGAGTGCGTCCCAGGTGCGGGGCGGGCAGGCGGCCGGGGCGGGCAGCGGGTGAGGGCCTGCGCCCAGTGAGCCATTGCTCTGCAGAGCGGTCCCCGAGGGCCTGGGCGGTTCTGCTCGGCCTCTGAAGGTGAGGGGAACCGGTCACTGCTCTCTGGGGCTCAGACGTTCGTTCTAAGAAGTGGTGTCATTTGGAAGGTGTCCTCCAGCAGCCCCCCAAGCGTCCTCTTTCCCGTCACACAGGTGGAGAAGCACGTGAGCGATGCGATTTCCAAAGGGGCCACCGTGGTGATGGGCGGGAAGCGACACCAGTTTGGAAAGAACTTCTTTGAGCCCACGCTGCTCAGCAGTGTCACCAGGGACATGCTTTGCGCTCACGAAGAGACGTTCGGGCCTCTGGCACCAGTTATCAAGTAAGACCCAGCCCACAGGAGGCCCCGGGAGGGAAGGGAAACTGCAACCTGGGGAGAGATGGCCGAGCTAGTCAGAGGGCCAGGGGGGCCGCGGGGTGCGGGGGCCGCGAGGCCCAGAGCTGCACTGAGCAGATTGCCGCGCAGGCTTCAACGTTTAAACTTAGGAAACAGAATTTACCTACTTCTTTCTGCTGAACGTCCTCCTCCTCCTCCTCCTCCTCTTCTTTCTGTCGCTGTTGGTACTCAAGATTTAACCCAGGGGTGCTTTACTCCTGAGCTATGTCCCAGCCCTTTTTATTTTTTATTTTGAAACATGGTCTAACTAAGTTGCTTAGGGCCTTGCTAAATTGCTGAGGCTGACCTCAAATTTGTGATCCTCCTGCCTCAGCCTCCTGAGCTTCTGGGATTACAGGAGTGCACCACTGCACCCGGCCTTCCTCCTCTTCTTAATGGAGAATGTCCTCTGAGGGCTCTTCCATGGCAGTCTGTAGGGAATGGACACTCACGTGACCTCCCGTGATCTTTCACCTCATGTTGACGAGTAAATAGTGGCTGGTGTGGGTGAAATTCTAGGTTCCACACTGAACTGGCGCTCAGGCCTCTTGACCTCCACAGCTGTGGCTGAGAGACGCCATTCTGCCCCTTCCTCCTTGAAAGGGACCCACCTTTTCTTCCTGGGGACCTGGAGGCGTTCTCTTGGCCCCTGATACCCTCATGGGTGCTGCAGTGACTCGGGTTTGGTGCCCGGGGCTTCTTCAGGCTGCGTTCTGATGCCTTTCTTTGGTATCTAAGGTGTCTGTTCAGTCCTGCTTCTCCCTGCCTTGTCCTTCCTGCCCTGACCCTGTGACCCACACGCCCCGACTCACTTCACTCCAGCCCTGCTGCCGCCCACGAGGCCCCTCCCTCCGCAGGCCTGGGGTTCAGGGGCACCCGGCTCTTCCAGCTGGTGCCCTCAGTCCCCACCTGGCCAGCCCTCTCCCCACCCCGGCTCCTCTTGCCTCGCTGCTCTCTCACCTGCTGTAGGTCTGTCCTTTTCTGACATTGTCACCTGCTGTCTTCTGGGGTCTTCCCTTCCTCTGATGTCTCGTGACTTTCTCTGTGAGCTCATCTCTCGCCCCTTGCTTGGGCTGTGGTCAAAGCTCAACCTCTGTTTGTGCTCAGGCCTGGAGGCAAAGCCCTGCACCTCAGGGAGGGGGAGGACGTCTTGTGTTAAATCCCCAGTCGACACCCCTGCTCCTCGCGACCCCCCAGGGCTATTTTGCAGTTGCCTCTAATGGACCAGGGAAAGGAGCCTGCTGGCCTCTGCCTGTTTTGCACTGGCTGGTGTGCCAGCTGGGCTGGGCACTGGCTGGGTCCCTGCTGCCCCTGGGTACCTAGCACGGACCCAGAGCCAGGCCTGCAGATGGGACCAGCTCACAGTCACAGGAGTCGGGGAGGTGCAGCCCACGCCCGCTCCCCAGGCCATGTTCTCCCCAGGCCATGTTCCCCCCAGGCCATGTTCCCCCCAGGCCATGTTCCCCCAGAACTGTGCCCGGAGCCGTGCCCTGAGCTGCTGTGGAGGCGTTTTGTGAGCCCTGGTTTCTGTCCCTCCTCGGGCACTTCCATCTTTGGCCCTCAGCCGAGCTCCCCCGGCTGTGCCGTCCTGTCCAGGGCCCGGGGTCTGTCTTCTCTCCCCCCTGCCAGCCTGCTGCCATCTTGCTCGTGAAGTTTCTCCACTGTTGGAGAAAAGGGTCACTTCCTTGTTTTAATGACGACGTTTTCCCAGGAATGAGGACTGGACGCTTTCTCAGGAACCCGGAAGGGTGCCTTGGCTACAAACGCAGGCTGTGCCGCCTCCTCCCAGCACCCCCGCGGCCCGCCCCCAGGTTAACTCTTCTGGGTCAGCTGTGCCCAGCCACCAGCCCTGCAGAGACTGCGGCCCGCCGCGCTGACAGACTTCTAAAATTAGAATCGGGATGCTTAGAAACTGTGGCAGTTGCAATTCTGGAGTGACAGAAAATTGCCACTCCAGTCTTGTTCCGAAATAAAACGATGGCGCTGGGAGAGCCCACGAGGGCCCTGACACGGCTCATCAGAGAGGAGCGACGCTGGGCCCAGCACCACGGCGAGCTCCGTGGTGACGGGTGGCAGAGCCCATTGAGAACCTGGCCTGGGTCTCTGAAGGGGGCTTTCTGCCCTGTTGGGCCTGCTTCTGCGCAGCGTGGTGGTCACCCCTCTGGGGAGCCCCCAGGCCAGGACTCCCTTCCCGTGGGACGCTGTTTGGTGGTATTCCCTGCCTCGATGTTTCCTTTTCTCCTACAAGAGACGAGGGTCCACTGGAGGGTGCTGGCCGTGAACGCCGAGTGGCCTCGGTGATCGCTGCTGCTCTCTGCCCTGGGGTCCCTTTGCGGAACTCGGACCCCTTGCCCTGATCTGGGAAAGAGATCGGGGTTCTTCATTCTCCCCCTAGAGTTTGCTCCTGACCGACTTTACCTCCGGCAGGTTCGACACGGAGGAGGAGGCCATCGCCATTGCCAACGCCACCGAAGTCGGGCTGGCAGGTAGGTGTCTGCCTGGTCTGCCCCGTCATTCCTGGGCTCCAGCAAATGCCACCCAGTCTCAGACACCACCAGTGGGTGGGCTTCCAGAGGGACACTTCAGCAGGGTGTGTGTGTTTTCCAAGTGGCGAGGGTGGCTTTGTGCTGGTCTCGTCTCTCTGTCCCCCGTGGCCCACATTTGGGAGCCGTGATTGGAGCTGGGGAGCAGTGGAGAGGAGACCCGTGCAGGCGTTGAGGGTGGAGGCCACACGCACCTCCAAAGTCTCGGGTTCTCAGAGGCACGATGCCCAGAAACGCCAAGCGCTCTCTCTTCGTTTGGCCCCACGCCTAAAGCCCGCACCACTAGGTGACCTCCGACCCTGGGCATCGGCAGGAAGTGTGGCGGACACAGGAAGGAGCGAGAGCATCTGCAGCTGGCCTCGTGGACGGCTGTGCTCAGTCTAGACATGGCCAGGTGCCACAGCATGTCCCTGTAACCCCGGGAAAGTCAGCGTTGGCGTCCACAGTGAGGCCGAGCTTCCTGGAGGACGAGCCGTGGCGCTGCGGATGCCCCTTGTAACGGGAGGAAGAATAAGCCTCTGTGGGTCTCCTGGCCGCGCCGCACCCAGGTCAGCTCCACGGTCACTGGAGCGAGGCGTCTGCCCTGGGCTTCCGGAGCACGTTCCGTCCTCCCTCTTCCCTCCCGGTGGGATGAAGGTGGAGGAAGCCTCGCGCCGAACGAGGTCGAGAACGAGGGGCAAGGTCACCGTGCGGTTTGTGGGGGAGAGAGCCGGGCAGAGGGAACCCGGGAGGTCAGGAGCAGAGTAAGAAAGGGTGGGAGGACTTGGTGGGGAGTTCGGAGACGCGGCTAGTGACGGGCCTAAGAGGTGCAGCCCCCGTGTGGAGGGCTGACTGCTCAGTGAGGAACAGAGCCGTGTTGCATGGACGACGAGGAGGGGAGGGGGTGTGGCAGGGAGTGTGCGGCCACCTAGCTGCTGTGCGGGATGGCGAGGACAGAGAGAGCCCGGCCAGCGGGGAACAGAAGCAAAAGGCGATTTCCCGGTGCCAAGATGAGGGGGCACGGGACCCACTGGGCTTTGCCAGGGAGCAGGGAGGACTCGGGCAAACAGTGGCCAGTGGGCCTCAACTTCAGTCGTGTCTCTGATGGACGCTCCACGGGTCACCTGTGTCCTTTCATCCCGCCACAGGCTACTTTTACTCTCAGGACCCTGCCCAGATCTGGAGGGTGGCAGAGCAGCTGGAGGTGGGCATGGTTGGCGTGAACGAGGGGCTGATTTCCTCCGTGGAGTGCCCTTTCGGCGGGGTGAAGCAGTCTGGCCTGGGGCGCGAGGGCTCCAAGTACGGCATTGACGAGTACCTGGAAGTCAAGTACGTGTGCTACGGAGGCCTGTAGCTCCTCGCTTGTTGGAGATCAGTAAAGGAGGCTGACCCACACTCGGGACCTGCCCTCCATTCATTAAGTGGCTCGGCCATTAGTCATGACTTCTCACGCGCAGCCAGTCTTCGTGATCTTTAATCAGAGGCAACCCCCACCCCGCCATCTCCTAACGAGGGACCAACACAAGCCGCCCACCTGTGGCTGCAGACCCCAGAGAGCCAGGCCGGGGTCTGCAGAACAAGCCGGAGGACTCCACGTGACCCCTCCACCTGAGGGCAAGGCGCAGTGCCCAACAGATCCGCCCTTCGGGGCCACATAGCCAACCCCCGCCTGGCAGGGGGTAGTGCTGGCTATCAGCGTGAGCCCAGAGCGCTTGCAAGGAGCCCCGGAGTACGATCAGCAGTGGGCTGGGCCCAGTATCCCCTTCCCCAGCCAGCTGAGCACTGGAGGTACTGTGTGTCCAGAGGGGCTGCGGCCGAGGCTGGTGGGTCACCGTTGAGAGCGTTCCACTGCAGCGTGATCGCCTGTTCCACCGTGTGGCGCAGGAGCGCGTCTGTCCCAGGTCCGTGTGTAGACGGGAGCCTTCCTTGCGCCTGGTCCTGCCTCAGCTTCACGTTGCTCCCCAAGCCCACTCTGAGAGCAGGATCGGCGGAGGCGGCTCGTGCAGTGGAGCCTGGCCGTCCCCTCCTGCTCCTGCCCAGGAGCACACCTGAGTCCAGGTCGGCGTCACGCAGGTCACCTGGGCCTGAGCGGAAGTGACTTGCAAGACAGGGAATGTGCAGGGTAAGCACCGGAGCCACCTGTGAGCAGCAGCACTGCCCTGCCCTGGGCCCAGAGAGGCGCACCCACCCACCCAAGCCCAGCCCGTTTGTCCTGGTGCCGTGCACTCTTGCACTTTCAACGGGAAAAAGCACCTTCACCACCGTAATCTGGAAGGAACAGAAGGTGCCAATCCACGGTGTGGAGGAGGTGCAAGGCCTAGGATTTCAGGCACCTTTTACCTAGTAACCCCACTTGCAATTCAGCATACGAACTACCCCTCCAATTCCCTGTGACTGGTGTTGGTGCTCACTCTGAAGGGAACACTGGCCGTTCCAGCTCCTTCCTCCCCTTCTCTTTATGCGTAGGGGCCCCTCAGGTCACTGGGTAGTAGCAGGGAGACATGAATGAAAACAGTGCTGGATGCAGCTGCTCCTGAGCTCCACCCAGCACCCTTCACTAAGCACAGGCAGCTGCAGCTGAGTAACCAAGTGCAGAAAGTCGCTTGCACGCAGGATGCTTCCAGTCCTGCAGCTGCTGCACACCTGGCTAGGGTAGTCCTTGCCATGTGCCCAACCCCAAAGGAGAATCAGAACTCTTCCTTCTAGTGACACTGCCCAGGCCTGTCAAGAGGCACGCCCAGCACGTTGACAGCTAATTTCTGCTCCTCGCTGTACAGTGTTTGGTGGTTTTATAGAACGCCCTCATTGCTTAAGATTCCTGTGCGTCCATCCTTTTTCTATTAAGAAAGCAAATGCCCTGGTGTTGTTTTTAGAAGTAGAATACCAATGCTGAAATGTCCAGAGGAGAACCTTAAAACACACTTTCAACCCTGTAAGCAGGGAGAAATTCTGAGTTTTCTTGCATATTTGGCCTGCTAGATACATAGATCGAGGCCAGAGACTCACTGTAATCTCCATGATCAATTCTGTAGTTAAATAGTTTGGGGTGGGGCTGGGGTTGTGGCTCAGAGGTAGAGCCCTGGGCTAGCATGTGTCAGGCACTGGGTTTGACCCTCAGCACCTTGTAAAAAATAAGATAAAGGTATTTTTGTCCACCTACAATTAAAAAATATTTTTTAAAAATAGCTTGGGGTGCTGGGAACTTTGACTCAGTGGTAGAGCTCAGCATTAGCTGCTTGAGGCCCTGGGTTCAGTGCCCAGCACCATCAAAAGGAAAAAAAAAATTTTTTTTTGAAAAAGAAATAACTTACTGTTAAGTAAAATGGTTCTGGGTTGCGGGATAAAAGAGAAGTGTGTGGGTTTTAGGGTTTTGTTTGTTTTGGGATGGGGTCTCACTGTGTTGCCCAGGCTGGCCTCAAACTTCAGGGCTCAAGTGATCCTCCAGCCGCAGCCTCCCAAGTAGCTAGGACTCAGGCCTGCGCCATCACGTCCATCTAAAAGTCATTTTAAATGAATGTTTTGTTAGTTTTCAGAGTCCATCAGTGGAATCTTTCTGGAGCACAGCCACAGCCGTCCTTTGTGTTGTGGTCTGTGACCTCTGGCCTGGCAGGGCTGAGCAGGAGAAGGTGGTGAGCCTAAATAGGGGCCGTACGACCTTCCTGAATTCACAGCACCGTTGGCAGCCCCCAGGTGCCGTGGGCTTCTCTCCTGGCTCCCCTGGGTTCTCAGCAGGGACTCCCCAGCAGTTACCTCCTGACTCCAAGGCCTTGAAGGGACACCTCTGACTTCCTTCCTCCAGCTGGGCAGGTTCCCCCCTGTAAGAGCTGATCCTGTCTGTGCCTCTGTCCGTGTGGATCTTTATTTTTAAAGAGGGCTGCGTGAAAATAAAGATCAGAAGCACCACGTGGACAAGCCTATTTTACTTTGAACCGACACGTGAACTTGAACCTGAAGTTCAAGTTCTGTGGGACTCTTTCCCCTGAAGGCAGGAGGTGGTATAATTAATTACCCTCCATCAGCTAGTTCCTTAGCACTTTACTTGAATAATACTTAATGCTGTGATTGTGCCATGCTAAACTTTGTGGGCTAAAACCAGGGAGTAAGTGTTAGTGTGAAATACGTAAACCCTTTGGTTTCTAAACGTGTGCACATGACTTATTCTCTGCTTCTTGACGGCGTACGCCTCACTCTCCAGCCAGCAGACTTCACATGTGTTGCCAATAAATGCTGAATTCGCACAGCTTCCCTCGAGTGTTGACAGGTCTGGTTGTTTGTTCAGTTCTTTCCCTTGGCAGGTCACTGTTTTTACTGGACAGTCCTGGGCCAGCGTGGATGTAGTAGATAACGCTCCTTCCCTGGAGACCGCTCTCCACTGAACCTCTGAAGGTGGGGCTTTGTGCTTAGGCATGTTTGCTGACCTGGTCTGAGAATCCCCGCGGCAAGTCAGGTGCTGCCCGGATCCGCCCGTCTGTCTTCCACACACCCCACTACCAACCACTTGTTCAAGGGCTGTTTCTGGTTTGGGTTGGGGAAAGCACACGGACTCCATGGTGTCCACGTGTGACCTCTGTATGTGACTAACAGTGCCCTCGGTCTGTTTTCTGATCTAAAACAGCACCACAGATGGGACAGATTGCATAGCTCATTTTGGCTCTGGTCCAAGTCTGGTCCAAGGTCAAGGGCTGCATTTCGTGATGGCCCTGGGGGCAGAGTTCCTGGCAGAATGGGTATGACATGACAAGTGACCTACCCAAGCTGGCTTTTAGAGCAGACGTGCAGAGCAGTCCACCCTGGAGGGCAGAGCCCCAGTCACGGGGTCCCCCTCTAGGCCTGCAGGGCCCTGCCTCAGTGTCCCATCTCAGTCCTCCCCCTGTGCACACGGCCCGCCTCCTGGAGCACTGGGGAGAGAACGTCCCCTGTGAGCTGGAGGAGCCCTTGACAACCCGCGTCAACACCCCTTCAGTTCCAGGAACGGGTGTCGACCCGCCTTCCATTGCTGAGGCAAACACCCAAGGTAACCAACAAGAGGAAGGATCTTTGGCTCACAGTTTCAGAGGCGCCCGTCCACGGTCTGGCCTGCTACTTCTGGGCAGTGGTGAGGCCGCCATTAGGGCGGCAGTGCCCAGTGGAAGGAAGCAGTTCACCACAGTGACCAGGTGCAGAGAGGGAAAGGGGCCCGGTGACTTTCCCACCAGGCCCACCTCCTAAACGCCCCCCAGATAGTGCCACAGGCTGGGGACCAAGCCTTCAGCGCGTCCTCTGGGACACACACAGAAAGCACAGTTTGATCCCCAGGGAACTGCCCAGAGCTCCTAGCAGGATCCACAGTGGCCTGGGGCCCTTTGTTTGCCCACCTGCGGTACAGCACTCACTCACCATGCATGACGCACTGGGTTTGAGCCTCAGCACCACATAAAGTAGAATAAAGACACTGTGTTCACCTATAACTGAAAGGTAAATATTACAAAAAAGATCTTTAAAAATTTGGGTGTACAGAGTATGACTCTATTTTATAGGAAACTCTAGAACATTCAAGCTAATCTGTATTGATTTCTGGGGGAGGGAGGGATTGCGAAGTCCGTAAGGAAACTTTCGGGAGTGGACATATCTGCTCATTGGCTGGACGGTCGTGTTGGATCCACAGGTGTGCACGTACTGCAGAACCTATCAAATCACAAGCCTTAAGTAAGCACAGGTTATTGCAAGTGTGTTATGCCTCAATACACTGTTTTTTTTGTTTTTTTTTTTTTAAGAGAGAGTGAGAGAGAGACAGGGAGAGAGAATTTTAATATTTATTTTTTAGTTCTCAACATCTTTGTTTGTATGTGGTGCTGAGGATCGAACCCGGGCCGCACGCATGCCAGGCGAGCGCGCTACCGCTTGAGCCACATCCCCAGCCCCTCAGTACACTGTTTTTTAAAGCCAGCTTTGTTACTGATCCAAGTGCAGCTTAGTATCTGCCAGGGAATCTCACCACCACCCCCGGCACTGCCAGCCTTCGCCAGCAGGGGGCAGACGGCCGTCAATGGCAGCGCGGCCTCTGGCTGGGGCCCCAGCTCCTCCAGCCTGCCCCCCCCCCCAGGGGTGGGAGAAGCAGGGGTCCTGCACAGCAGCCAGGGCTTTCTTGCTCTCTTTCTCTGCAGAAGGTCAGACAGTGAATATTTTAAGAGTTTGCAGACTGCTCTGCCATGACTTCTTGCCTTGTCTGTAGCACAGAGCAGCCAAAGGTTCAGGTAAGCAAATGCCGGGTGGACGTGTTCCAGTGAGGGTCTCCAGACACAACCCAGCTTCATACAGTTTGTGTGATACAAAGGATTATTTTCCCCAACTGTTTGAAAACACAAAAACCATGCCCTTGGGCTCCCAGGATGTGCAACAAGCTGCCGCCCACAGTTGCTGGACGTCCTGTCCAGGGAAGCCTGGAGCCTGAAGAAAATATATTTCCCTAAAAATAAGGCTTACAGAAGACAGGCCCCTTTATTTAATTAGCAAGACATTTAATAGTGTTACATTAGAAGGAATATCTTGTCGATACACTGGGGAGATAATGCATTTTAAAAAACAGAGTCAAGACTTAAAACCGTCCACCACAGCTTGGTCACATAGGAAAGAGGGCTCTCGCCCTGCCCTCCTGCCAGGGAGGCGTGTCTGTCCCCATGTGCAGTGATAACTTGTCTGACCTCACTGTGTGCTTTTAAGCAGGTTCTGTTAACATGCTTAGCCTCTTCGTGCTGTGGGAGTGAATCCTCTCCTGTGGTCCTGGGGTGAGGATTTTCTCCCTTGGTTTTGCAGTGCTGGGGATTGAGGCCACGGTCCTGTGCGTGCGAGTCGAGCTGCACCCCCAGCCCTTCTCTTTATTAAATCGAATGCAGCGACTCATGAGCGTGTCACCCTGTGAGCCCTGCAGCCACTCTCTCCCCTCTTGCCCACAGTTCCTATGGTGCTCTGCCTCCTGGGGACCCTCGTGATGAGCAGCAGGAGACGGCGTGCAGGGAGGGGGTCGTCCCACCTGGTGCTGTCTCCTCTATGAGGGATGACAGGGACCCGCTTTCTGGTCACTTCGGTGATGTTTACTTTGGTTTCCAAGTATCTTTCCAAGATTCCAAGAATCTTTTGGGTTCAAGATTCTTCTGTGGTGGAAGGGTCCCAGAGGCCAGGCTGAGATGGCCAGGACAGAAGGGGGTGGAAGGGTCCCAGAGGCCGGGCTGAGATGGCCAGGACAGAAGGGGGTGGAAGGGTCCCAGAGGCCGGTCTGAGATGGCCAGGACAGAAGGGGGTGGAAGGGTCCCAGAGGCCGGGCTGAGATGGCCAGGACAGAAGGGGGTGGAAGCAGCAATACAAGCTCCAGGGAGCAGTGGCCCAGCAAAGCTCCCGCAGGAGGGCTGGGTGGGCCAGCTGTCCCTTGGCTGTTGTCCTTGGACAAGCCCTTGATAGGACAAGGGCTTCCCATCAGTCCTAGGAGGACTTTCAGGAGGCCCAAAAGGTCCCCAGAATTTGCCCTGCAAGGCAGGACTTCTCAGTGTAGTGGAAGGTGGGCCTTGGTGTTCAGTTCCTGACCCACCACTTAATCGACTGTGGCTTTGGGCAAGACCCAGAAATGAACTTCCTGGCCTTCAAAGGGCTATCTGAACACGAGAACAGCACTGTCTCCTTCTAGGTTGGCAGCAGGGGTCCACTGAGTACATGGACATGTGTGTCATGACACAGCAAAGGCCCCTCCCTCTGCCTGACCACACTCTGTGACATCGCACTTGGACTGATGTCTCCTATGCCAGTAATTTCCAATTATGCATAAGATTAACTTAACCTGGTCACTGGGTAGGGCAGATCTAAGTTTATGATGCTGAATACTGGTCTAAAAAGCATCACATTTTCCTTATAATACTACAGATGGTATTGAACCTGCTAGTTATACAGAAAATATGAACATAAGAAATCACCACACTAAAAAATTACTGTAAAGATAAAATTACACTTCTGTACATTTTAGTTCTATTCTGCATGAAGTGTAACATAGGAGTCCCCTCTCACCCACGGTTTCACTTTCTGAGGTCAAAAGCAATCTGGAAATATTGAATAAAAAAAATTCGGAAATAAGCAATTCACACTTTTGAGTAGCATGGTGAAATGGCATGCTGCTGCACTCCATCCAGCCTGGAAGTGAACCGCCCTGTGTCCACTGGGTCCATGCAGTATATGCTACCTGCCCATTAGTCACTGGGTAGCAGCCAACGCCAGTTGTCACAGCATCTCATTATGTATGTTAAGGTAACCCCTAGTTTAACTTAACAATGGCCCCAAGGCACAAGAATAGTGAGGCTGGCAATTTGTACATGCTAATAGAACCCACAAAATGCTTCCTTCAAGTAAAAAGTGAAAGTTCTTGACTTAGAAGGAAAAAAAAAAAAAAGCCCCATGCTGAGGCCACTGAGTGCTATGTCCAGGACAACCACGTCCCTGAAGCTGTGAAGAGGGCAGAGAGCTTGTGTGGTTTTGCCATCACACCTCGACCTTCAGAAGCCATGACCACCAAGTGTCAGTGCTCCATGAGGTGGAAAGGGTTAGATGGCGTGTGCGGCCACGGGAGGACTGGACACCGCGCACTCCTGCCTGAGGGTTTGAGAGGCCCTGCTTCTCCTCGGGGTGGACAGAGGCATCCCCACCTGCCGCAGGCCAGAGCCTGAGCCACAGGGTAGTGCTGGCTGTCACACTGTGCCACACCCTGTGCCTCCCCCCACTCCACAGACCTGCCAACGCCCCCGCCAGCCCCAGCCCAGGACCACAGGTGCTAGGGGACCTCGAGGCAACAGCCAACTCTAGGTCACGCTCTGGGTGCTGCTCTGTGGGAGGAAATGGCTGCTTAGATAAGATCGATTGGGTCCAAAAACTATTTAACAAGTATCACTTTTAAGCATATGAAGTGGATATAGGTCCGGTTATTATGGAAAGTGCCTCAGGGGCCCAGATCCTCAGCACCCTGCCACCTGCATTAAGACTGACCAGATTTCAGGACCTTGGCTCACGGGTCACGGAGCGGTTACCGCCATCTGGGGCAGTCCAAATGCCCGGCCGGCGGTGAGACTCAATGTTCAGTGAATTGGTGATTCCACTGTGGTGGGTGGCTATGGACAGGTGAGAGAGGCTCAGCGTCGGCTCTCTCTTAGAGAAGGAAGAGACGATGTTAAATGCTACCTTGGATGTTCGGCCTCCCCTTTCCCTTTCCTCAGCTCCTGAGCTTCTGCCAGCCACAGAACGCTCTCTAAGGTTCTACAGACACACACAGGTGTGAAGCTTCACCTGGACATGAGCATCAGCACAGGGCCAGCTTTGGAAACACACAACTCTCACCCGCGCGAAGCCTGGGAATTCACCCGGCCTTCAGGCCCGCTAACGAGCCTCCCGGTCCGAAGAGCAAGGTTCCATTTTCAACCCCAAGAAACCCGGCCTCTTCCTACAGAAGCCCACCAGGCCCCTGGGAGAGGCGTCAGTGTGCAGGGCAAGTGGGCTTCCTGTTCCAGGCCACAGTGGTCCTGCACACAGGGTCCCACGGGGTCCTCCATCTCCGGCTGCTGCACTATCTGTCCTTGGAGCAGTAGCTGAAGGAAGCCCCGTTCCTGGACGCCTGGGGATGCCCTCTCTCCATCCCTTCCCGGCTGAAGACGGTGTCCTGCTCACTGTCAAACTCGGACTCGGACACCATCAGGCTGGAGTTGTGCTCCGTGCTCCGGTGCTTGATGCCTAGGGAGAAGCAGCAGAGGCTCAGGGAGCAGCACCCCTCCTAGGAGGAGCCCTGTTCTTCACATTCAGCTCCACTATTCTGGGTGCAGGTCACAGGAGGAGCATAGATGTGTCCCCTGAACCTGCAGCCAAGCAAGTGGCTTGGGGTTCCTAGTGCTCAGCAATAGGGACCTTGCTATCACACCTGAATTTGAGCCCCAGCTTTGGCAACTCCCAGCTGTGTGACCCTGGGCAAGGTACCCAGGCTCTCTGGGCTTCCATTCTCCTCATCTATCAATTGGGTTTATGGTGAGGATCAAGTGAGATAGTGCTGTGAATGTCTAGGCCCAGCATTCCCATTCCGCAGAGTGAGCACTCAATGAGAGCCGTCACGACTACTGTATAAGTTCAACAGATTTGAGTTCTTGGGGTTAACATAGGGGCAGAACAGGAAGGAGAGTGATCCCTGCTCTCAGAGAACGAACAGACATAGACAGGTGAGCAGACAGCGCGACAGGCGAGAAATAAACACCGACCTGAATCTAGAGGAGTGGCCCCCACCCCACCCCCGACTGCTCCGGGGCCTTCCATGTAGCCTGGGAGCTGGGCAAGAGGAGGATCTGGCTGGGGAGACAGAGCAGGGGCACGGACTACGGGCAGCACCCAGGACCAGACCGCGGCCAACGATTCACACAGGAAATAGCGAGTGGGAGCCGGGGCCTCCCAGAGAAGCACCGAGTCAGGGCAGGACGTGGAGTCGATGCTTCACCCCACAGCAGAGGCAGTCAGTGGCAAAGACACAGGCTGCGGGACAGAGGAAGAGGCCCCGGGAGACTGCAGACCGGGCTGCTGTGATCTCCACGCTACGTCCCCTCGAAACGCTCTACCCCCAAGGAGAAGGCCCTGAGAGGCAGTGCCTTGGGACGTGACAGATGGGGTCACAGTCACAATCAAGGAGGCACTGGAGAGCTCCCCTGGCACCCCCCACCCCCCCCCACACACACACACGGTGCAAGGCTATGGGGAGAGGGTGCCTTCCGGAGGAGCTGGCCCTCACCGGCACCGAAGGTGCTGCCCACGTGCAGGAGGAACTGTGGTCTAGGGACATGTGGATGGATGAGAACTACGGGTCAGGTGCGCGGCAAGCACCCAGCACGGTTCAGCCCTTGTCATTACACAGTTCAGAGGTGAGACCGTGAGGATCCCAACGAGGGTGGAGGAGACAGCGGTGCGGAGACAGCAGGAGACTGGCAGCTGGGGCTGGGGACCAGGTGAGCTCCAATGACTGAGTCCTGCACCTGGGTAAGAAGGGCCCCAGGAGGACAGAGACATCAGGGGGTGGGCGTGTTCCAAGTGGGACGGGGTGACCTAATGCAGCCAGAGGACCCTGAGCTCTTAGGTGTAGTCACTTTGGAGCACCTCCAACGTCAACTATGTAATGTAAACAGTGGGCACTCAATGAATGCACACTACTCTGTACTTGCAGTGAAGCTCCTGCTGCCAAAGCCTCTGACTACACTCGGTGTACCAGGCAGTCCTGGCCTCTGTCCTAAGGCTTCCTCAGGCGCCCACAGGACTCCCAGCACCGCAGGGTCTGACCTGCCCTCAGGCTGAGCTCCTGTAAAGGTAGGTGAAGGTTCACTTCCCTCCCTCCCCAGGGAACCCGGGGACTGTGCAGGGGGCAGGCACTCAGCACCGAGAGTGGGCAGCGTTTTGCACTTCTTGACCTTGAAAGTGAGTATGTCCCTGTGTGAGCAAGAATTTAGCTGCAAAGCCAGCGTCATGGCAGATCCACAGACGCCCGGCTGAGCAGCCGCAGAGGCCAGAGAGGACACATGCAGCAGGCCGCAGTGAATACTGAGCTCCCAAAGCCAACTGAGGCGGGCAGGAGAGGCCCACGCGCAGGGCGCCCTGAGTGGAGCTAGTGCAGCTGCCGGAGAGTGCAGGCTAGTGAGGTCTAAATGTCCTTTTGCTGCATTTCTGGTCTGGCAGGCCGACAGTGATGAGCGTTCACACAGGAGCTGGGGACACTGTGTCGTGCGCCCTGCCACCCTGCCACCACAGGGAACAGAGCCAGGCACTGGGTGCCAAGGAGCCTTGCCCTGGGGTCACTGGGCAGAGCTAACTGATGACAGACACTTCACATCCCTCACCATCGAGGCCTAAGGCTCTCTGCCAAGACGGCACTACTCTAAGACCACAGTGCTCCCGTTGGCAGGGCCCCAGGACCGAGGCGCTGGCTGTCATCGCAGGCTGCGCCCCACTCTTCCTCCCTAACTGAGCGCGGACTCGGCTTACTCCTCCCCTAAGCCCAGTGTCCCTCCCTGGCAAACACCGTGGCGAGGCGGCTTCTTACTGTATTTGGGCCTCAGCTCCATTCTCTCCTGTTCGTCCATGTTGTCCAGGATGGTGTACTTCGTTTTCTTCCTGATTTTAGTCCTTTTTTGTCTGAAAGGAACAATGAAAAGCTCAACTCAGATGGGTCACTGGGACCCAGGGTTTGGGACACTGAGGAGAAGACACTGAGGAGGTGTTTGGCCTCTGGTGTGTAGGAGTTGACACTTCAGCTCCTCACTGTGAGACCCAGGTGGGGCCGGAGCCCAGCAGGGGGCTCGCAGAAGCCCCCTGCAGAGAGCAGCAGGAGAATGGGCCAGGAGTGGGAGAGCCACGCCCCTGGGCCTCTAGCCCAGGGCTCTGAGGGACGGAGCCCCGAGAGCAGCCCCCAGAACCATGTGTGCAGGGAGCTTTTCCTTACTGAGGAAAGAAGCCTGGTAAGCAAGCTTCCCCCAAAGCCTTAGCACCCCGGAATGTCAAAGATGCAGGAATCAAACTGGCAATCAGAGAAGGAAAAACAGCAGAAATTATACTACAGGACGTTCCCAAGTTCAGTTGTTGCTTTAGCAACGAGTCAGACATCCACTCTGTATCACAGCACGTGACAACCAGGCTGGCCCTGTGTACCTCATCCCATGCTGCAGAAGACAGTTTGAAAACACGTCAAAACCATGCTAAGGTAGGTAAAGAACAAAGAGTGATTCCAATTTTCTGATCTCGAAGTGAATAAGAGATGGGCCTCTCACCCTCAGGCTAGAACCTCCTAGCTCTGGCTTTGAGAACTCTCCTAGACTTCGGTGCCTCCATGTTCTGACCTGTAAAATGGGGGCAAGGATGGTCCCTTTCTTCTCTGGTTGCTGGGAGCACTACACAAGATGACACGAGATGACACGAGACAGGCCTTAGCCATGTCACCACCCTCCCCGTCTGCTTGGTATGCAGGACCCAAAGCTGCGGGCCACAAGCAGCAGGGGACCCCATCCCAGGTGGCACCAGGAAAACCTGATGGACCTAAGCCTCTCCCTGGGGCCTGTGCTTGGCTCTCCTTCACCATCCTACCATGGGACCATGAGCACAAGTAAAACTTGAGGGGCTGGGGATGTGGCTCAAGCGGTAGCGCGCTCGCCTGGCTTGCGTGCGGCCCGAGTTCCATCCTCAGCACCACATACAAAGATGTTGTGTCCACAGAAAACTAAAGAATAGATATTGAAATTCTCTCTCACTCTCTCTTTAAAAAAAAAAAAAAACTTGAGTAGAAGTGACTTCTGAAAAGAAACTGTTAGTTTTAGTACACCTACATTTTTTTTTTGGTACTAAGGATTGAAATCAGGGGTTCTCAACCACTGAGTCACATCCGCAGCACTATTTTGAATTTTATTTAGAGAGAGAGTTTCACTGAGTTGCTTAGAGCCTCGCTAGGTTGATGAGACTGACTTTGAACCTGTGATCCTCCTGTCTCAGCCTCTCCAACCACTGGGATCACAGGCGTGCGCCCACCTTAGCTCACCTACTCTTTATTACATCTTTGGAGCACATTTTTAGAGACTCATAGAAAAATGGACACTGGCTGGCTCCTAAGGACTAGATAACCACTTCCCCCTAGTCTCACAGAGGGCCGAGTGCGGGGTTCAGGGAGGTTCAGACAACAAGGCAGCCAAGGGGCTTCTGGGCACCCCATGGAGAGAAAAAAGAAAAACCAACACAGGTTCTCTTTGGTGATATTAGACTAAAAGAGATTCGGGCCCAACTTGGTGGTGCACACCTATAATCCCAGCAACTTGGGAGGCTGAGGCAGGAGGATAGAAAGTTCATGGTCATCAGCAACTTAGCAAGGCCCTCCCTCAAGATAAAAAATAAAGAGGGTGGGGATGTGGCTCAGCGGTAAAGCGCCCTGGGTTCAATCTCTAATACCTAAAAATAAAAGGGATTCATACAGATCAGGATGTTGTTTCATGCAATAAAAACTGAAGTCTTCTTCTAGAAGTCTGTACCAGTATTCTTGTAGAACTCTTTTCTCCACTGAGACCTCTAAGGCCACCAAGGTTCTGCTCTGGGGAAGTGACATGAGCTAGCGAGGATAATACTGGATTTGATGGAGAACTTGGACCCTCCTGGAAAGTGAGAGCCTTCAGAAGGAGAAGCAGCCTCCAGTATTAGTCCACTTCTGCAGGCTCCTGCACCGTGGGCCAGATGTGCATCGAATTCTTGGACTAGCTTGTCTTCATAAAAGTGACCATCAGACAGGTCAGCAACTTAAGAAACCCCAGCAAGGCACACCACGGCAAGACACGGTGCCCAGGGAGGCACCTTGGTTGGAGTGGACAGGCGCACCAGCACGTACCTGTGACAGCAGCAGATGCACAGCCACGTCACGCCTCCTGCCAGCACTAGGAGAGCGCAAGCCAGCCCCGTCACATAGAATATGCTCCACTCTGGAAAACGAGAGAGCCAGGGTGGGCGCTGTGGGCTGTTTGCACACAGCACCGCGGGGGATTCGCAGTGATTTCTGAGGCAGCGCAGAGCAACAAGGCAGAACGTCAGTAATCAACACCTAGGACGGCCCTGTTCCACCCATTGGTCCAGGGACTCATGGAGCACGTACTTCATGCTGACTAGAGAACCAAGTAACCTAAAATAACCAAATCAACCCATTAAGTAGCATAATGTCCCTTCCACACACACTGTGGCCCATCAGCCGAGTCCCTCCAGAACCCCAAGATCACGACCCTCCCCCAAAATGGTCCTGGCGTGGTGTTAATGAAGCCAAGTGCCCGTGGATGAAGACACCTTTCAGCCCCGTCTTCCCTCCTCCTGTGCCCTCGCTCGTCAAGGGCTCTGCCGAGCAGTTGAGGACCAGAGGAGCCACGGGAGCCAAAGCCGAGCTGGGTTAAAGCTCTTGGGGTGAAGGTCACACGCTCTCCCTGGAATCCTGGCCCAGGTGGCGGCTCTGCATGCTTGAGCCATACGAGGCAGGATGTGATCTGGCAGTCAGCTCTGACCATTCTTTCTGCCAATCATTCCCATCAAAACCACAAATCTACTCCTAGAGGACGACCAGTGATCGGATACGGTTTTCTCCCCAGAGTAGATGGAGGGGCCCAGCCCGGCCTGCTGAGGCCCTGGCTCCCACTGTTGGTGCCTGTCTGGAGGACAGCCCGGAGGAGTGGGCTGGGTCTCCACACTGGTCCAATTCAGGCAGGTCCCCCTGAGCTGGAGCCAAGGGAGGTGCAATCTGGAAACGTGGCCTGTGGCCACAGCAGCCCCTTCTCAGAGCTGCCGGCCAGGGTTGGCAAGCAGGCTCTGCCGCAGAGCACTCCTCCCGGGGAGGTTCTATGCATAAGCCAGAAGGCAGTCCTGGGGAGGACTCTGGGATAGGACGATGGCCCTGCAGCTCCTTGCCACGGCCACCTGGACGCCAGGACTCACCACAGTTGCTCTCCCCATCGCGGACATAGCGCTGGATCAGGTTCTCCATCCACAGCTGGGAGCAGACGCAGCGCTTGGTGATGGGGTCGCAGCGGCCGTGGCCAGAACACTCCAGAAGGCAGCCTGCAAGGGGCAGGGAGCTGAGGGCCGCAGGGAAGGGCCTGGCTTCCCTGCTCCGCACCCAGCAGCAAGGCCCTGAGCACTTGTGTGGTGTTGGACCGAGGACCTGCGACCTCCTCATCAGGAAGCAAATGGCAGAGAAGCCACACCACACAGCAAACGCCTTCAAACCCAGCAAACACGTGCCACCTCTGGCCCAGGAAAGCGGATTCTGAGAATGCACCCAGTGAGACTGACTGGGAATGTGCACAGAGCTCTTGTGTGAATGTCACAGAGCTCCTTGGATACAATATCTGCATTGTAACATTACTGAAAATCAATCCTAAAGTCCGTGGATACAGGGCGGGTCACATGACTGCAGATCATGCCCAGGGAGGCACGCCACACAGCCACCAGCATCTCCCTAACGGGAAGCTTAAAGGAGTTAGTTGAGAAAATGATCATATATGAAGTTAAAAGCACAGTTAAAATAGACGACAGGGGCTGGGGGTGCGGCTCATGGTGCGGCTCGTGGTAGAGCGCTGCCTAGCATGAGTGAGGCCCAGGTTCAATCCCCAGGTCTCAAAAAAAGACAGACATCAAATCATCCTGATTGTATTACATGTTCACAGAGATGGAGCAACTGGAGAGAAATACCAGAATATTAATGAGTCATCTCTGAGTGGTGTGAATTCTAGGCTTCACCATCTGGAAGATTCTTTCCTCCTCGGTATCTTCTGGATAGTCCAGATTTCCCACAACTATAAATATTACTTTTGTAGCCAGAAAAAAAGAAGATTTTTTTACATCAAGTTACTCTACATTATAATGGAAAAAGTCAATAATATTTTATCGGAGAATTTGTTGGAAATAAATTTATTGGAATTAAATTTTGCTGCCCAAATGTTATCATGTCCCTTGTGACCCTCACAGAAATGACCACTTCAGCGTGATGTGCATTCATATTGCTCATGAGATGAAGACAGGACTGTGGACTGTGGACCAGTGGGTGTCCTGGAGGGTGGCCAGCAGGCACTGAGAGCAGGGTCCACGTGGGAGGCACATTGAAGCTGTGTCGCGGGCAGGCACAGTGGCACATGCCTGCATCCTGACACTTGGGAGACGGAGGCAAGGGGACAGTGTGAGCCCCGGAGTTTAAGACCAGCCTGGACAACACAGAGGACCCTGTCTCCAAAAAAAAAAAAAAAAAAACAGAGAGAGACCCTGTCTCCTTCTAAGACACGGCTGTGGGCAAATGTGTGCTGCAGGAAACACCCCTGAGAAGTAAGTGCAGAACAAGTCCCTGGGTGTCCCCATCCACTCCTCTCCCTGTGCCTGCAAGCCATATCGTATCTACCACCGGCAAGTCTGATTCTTTTAGAAGATTCCAGAACGCAACATACCTGCTGTGTCCACCCTCAAGACCTTGAAAAGCAAGAAGTCGGCCTTCTCCCGTGACAGCCGCCTGTGCAGGGCTCGGGCCACGTCGGCGGCTCTGAGGACCTGGGCGGGAGGCCCGCTCTGCACATAGAACACGAGCATGGTGCTGCAGAGGAGACACGGGAGCACAGCCACACGTATGTGTCAGGCAGGGCCACGGGGCACGGCCAGCCTGGCCACCGGCCTGTGCTGTCGGGAGCTAGGCGGAGAGGCAGGCTCGCCTGTGGCCAGGAATTGCTTCTCTTCATAAATAAAGGCCCTTAGGTCTCCAAGTACAGCTGAGAGAGGCCTCACAGGGGAGCCCGATGCACAGGTGCAAGCAGACACAGCACACGCGAGGAGACCGCCTTCTCCCCTCCTTTGTTTCTGGTGCTGGATTGAACCCTGGCCCTTGCACATGCGAAGCACATGCTCTACCCCTAAGCTAAACCCCATCCCTCTAAAGCACAACTGCAATGGCTTCCAGTACATTCACGGACTGGCACCACCATCACCGCCGTCTAACCCAGAACAGGCTCTTCACCCTAAGAAGGTAACCCAGACCATTAGCATATTTCCCCTCTCCTCCTCCCCCACTCTGAAAACCACTGGTCCGCCTTTCTCTTTATAAGGGATTTGAGTACTCTGGACACTTGGTGTAAATGGACTCACACGATGCAGTGATCCTCTGCGTCTGGCTGTTTACTTAGCACAGTGTTTTCAAAGTTCGCCGCCTTGCAGCATCTGCTGTGCGGCTCGATCGATCGCTGTTTTATCCACTCCTCAGCTGGTGAACGTTCAGGTTTCTCCACTTTTTCTCTACTGTGACTAGGTGCTGTGCATATTCATACACAGGTTTTTGTCTCTCCTGGGTGTACACCTGTGAGTGGAGTCATCGGGTCGATGGCAGCTCTGATTGGCCTCCTTAGGAACACCAGACCTTCCACAGGGCTGTGCCATGCAGATGTTCCAGGGTACCCAAGTCCTTGCCAGCACCTGCCCTGCCCTGGTCGGCCAATGGGTGCTGAGTGGTGTCAAGGTGGGGTTTTAATTTGCATTTCCTTAGTGGCTCATGATGAAGAGCATCTTTTCACATGCTAATGGGCCACTTGCACATCTTTAGAGAAATAACTATTCAGATCTGTTAGTTTTCCAGGAATGTTGTTAAAAAAAAAATACAACAAATTTGTCTGTGTTTCTTGTCCCCTCTGTCCTGTGGCGTTCCCTGTGTACCCGTGTCTCCACTCTTCTCACGAGGACACCAGGCACATGGATTGAGAGCCACCTATCCTAATACTACCTAATCTTAAATTAACTACATACTTCTGCAACAACTCAGTTTCCCACTGAGTTGGTACCAGGGTCAGCACTTGGCTAAACCGTGTTGGGGACACAGTTCTACCACAAGTGTTTCTTTTGCGGGCACTGGGCTTCCAGTGAGTGGGCTCTCTCATCCAGCGAGGAGGTCCACGGAACATGGTAGAGGAGAGTGTGGCTGTGGAGTCGCTAATCAAGACCTTGGGAGACCAAGCAGGAAGCAGGTCTGATTTTATTGCACAGTTACCATGTACATAGACTCAGGCAGCAGCCAAGCAGATTACAGGCAGTCACCAGTGCAATGTCTGCTAACTATCCCTGCAGCGGCCAATCGAGGAGTGGACCGTGGAGCAAGCTCAGGGACGGCCACACATGGCCTCACGCCCAGGGTGTGCCTACGGGGTAAGCGGCCTGCCGCTCACACTCTCTCTCTCTGTGCCTAGCACGAGGGCAGGGCCTGCCACTCAGACGCCCTTAATGTATGCCATGGATGAAGTACACCATGTACTTGTCCCCACATTCCAGCGCCTGCGGCTGTGGCTGGGCTTTGCGCTCTGTGCCCTCGCGTGGCCTGTCACAGGCTGGCCCTTGAGCATGGAAGCGGCCGTGATCCCCGGGCGGGGCACACTGGTCCTGGCCTATCTTCTCACCAGGGGCTGGGTTCAGTTTGGCAGTATTTTGTCACCAGTTTGTGCTTCTGCACTGGAAGGGCGGTCGGCCTACAGGTTTCTTTCCTTGTGGTGTCCTTTTCTGATTGAGGATTGGGGGAGAGCTGGCCTCACAGCACCATTGGGAAATGTTCCCCAGCTTCTATTTTGGGGGAATCTTGTGAAGTGCTATGTTAACCCTTTAAACATTTTGCAGGGTTCGCTGGGAAAGCCGTCTGGTCCTGGGACATTTGGGGACCTTTGTTACTCTTCAGTCTCCACCTGTTGCACGTGGGTCTACGTAGACTTGTCATTTCTTGTCAGTAAGTTTTTTTGCTGTTTATGTCCTTCTAGGGGTTTTCAGTTTCACAAGGTTCTCTGGTGGGCTGAGGAGCGTTCAGAGCATCTCTGTAAAGTCCTTTCCATTTCTGTAAGGTTGTCCCCTCCTTTATTCCGGCTTCAACAATTTGAGCCGTCTCTGGGTTTTTCTTGGTCAATCTTTATAAACTTTGTTGACTGGCCAAAGGAACAACTTTTGGTTTTGTTGATTTTCAGAAAAGTCTGTGACTCAGTATTTTTTGGTCTTTTTTAAGTAAGAGAAATGTATGCTGTGTTTTAGAAAGAGTTCTGTAAAAAGTAACTAGAGGGCTGGGCCTGGCACCCCATGCCTGTAATCCCAGCGACTTGGTGGGGGTGCAGGGGGGCTGTGGCAGGAGGATCTCAAGTTCAAAGCCAGCCTCATCCATTCAGCAAGGCCCTAAGCAACTTATAATGAGACCTTGTCTCAAAATTAAAAAATGTAAAAAGGCATGGGAGTGCTAGGGATGTGGCTTCGTGGTAAAGAGCCCCTGGGTTAAATTCCCAGTGCCAAACATCCATCCATACCTACATAGAGGACTGGGGAGGAGCTCGGGGTAGAGGCTGGCCTAGCCCGCAAGATCCTGGGCTCAATCCCCAGCACCGCAAAATCACCACAATGACAATAATAGTAGTAATAATCAGGATGTGTTTCACTGGGCACTTTTCTAAGTAAATACCAGTCCCAAGGAAAACTAGCCCAAGGGGACGAGCTGGTGGAATTACTGTGCATGGTGGGATTTTCCCCCATATTCCTCCTCTCCTCCCCTCCACCCAGTCGGATAAACATTTAAAAACAAATCCCAGTGAGCCCTGCTCCTCGGGGAACGCCTCCTGTAATCCCAGCTGCTGGGGAGGCTGAGACAGGAGATCTGGAGTTCACAGCCAGCCTCAGCAACAGGGAGGTGTTCAGCATCTCAGTGAGACCCTGTCTCTAAGTAAGACACAAAATAGGGCTGGGACGTGGCTCAGTGGCTGAGAGCCCCTGAGTTCAGTTCCCCGTACCAAAAAAGAAGACCAAAGCAAATCCCAGGGAAACACAAAAGGCAGGAGCTCAGCCTCACACACTCCAACCCTGGGAAGAGGGAAGCTGAGAAGCTGGGGCCGCAGGAGCCCAGAGGCGCGCACAGGGAAGAAGCCCGACAGCGCCGTCCTGGCCTCCGGGGTCCGCAGCTCAGCCAACACGAGGTACCTGAGATCCGAGTGCGCCTGGATCCGCTGGACCTTGATGTCCGAGTCCAGCACGTCCAGCAGCACGGCCAGCTGCCTCACCAGGGCGTCCTTCCGCTGCTCTGTCAGCTGCCCGACCCCCACCTGCAGGATCAGCTCCACCAGGCCGCCCCTCCTCGGGTCTGGAAGGAGAGACCCCAGGGCTTTCCACCTGGAGGCGGCAGGCACTGCCTGCGGGATCTCCACACCCGGCTCCTAGGACAGTTCTTCCAGACACCCAGAGGCCGCTATGGGGAGTACCTTTTCTCTTTTATCCCGGTTTGTTGTCTCTTTTTCTTCCCAGCATACCTGAGCCCCTCGCTGATCTGAGATGCCAGCATCCCCCATGTTTGCCCAGGACCAAAGAGAATCCACCCCCACCCCGTGCCCCGAGCATTGTCCACCCACAGTGGGGGTCAGTGTGGCCACCTTGTGAGCTCTCCCCCACCCGGGCATCCCAGCCCCGCGTCCCTGTGTCCACTACACATTAAGTCTTTGTCTCTTGGCAGGAAAACAAAAGTGAAAAGATGATCTCGCTGCCAGCTCTAGCTGTCCTTTACAAGTTATGGGGCTGGATGATCGAGTGGGGATCACAAGGGCAGCAAGTGGGCCGAGAGCTGACTCCAGCCACAGGAGGCCCCCCACCACGGCTGCATCTGTGAAGATCCCCAGGTGCTGACCAGCTGGACCGTGCCTGGGCAGCTCCTCAGTCTGTGAACACACCTGGCTGCACCTCCACAGTGGCGGTGTCCATGTCCGAGGCCCCCTGGCTGTCGCTGACTCTCAAGTGGAAAGTGTAGACCCCCTCCACCAGATTGGTGAGCTGCAGGGCCACACTGTGGTCAGAGCCATCGATGACATCCTGTGAAATAACAGGATGCACACGGCAGCTGTCAACCTCGGGTTTCTGATCCCAAGCCTGAGCACCCTCACCCACGAGACGAGATGGGTCAGGCTGGGGAGGGAGCATCCCTCGGCTCCCCTCCCCACACAGCTCCAGGGCACAAAGTCCAAGGCAGGATTTCCAGGAATTAGCAAATGAGTGATTCTGTCCAACAGAGGGAAAGACCCAAACCAGGGCGAGGACCCCAGGGGCTAGGCCTGGGTTTCACGGGTCTTATTTAACATATCTGCTTTATAACACTCTCATCTTGGGCTCCCTTCCGGCACAACACGGTCTCCTCAAACTGAAACCCTGGGAGAAAGGGAGGTCATTGTGGGCCTCCATGGTCCGAAGGATTAGAGCAGACTCTCCAGATTCCCAGCTCTGAACTTGCTGATGGGAAAGGATGCACAAGAAGGTAGGGACTCGGAGGAGAGGAAGAGAAGCCCAGGAGACCCACCACCAGCTGGGCAGAGGGCATTCCAGAGGGACTGGGGAAATGTGGAGCGCTCAGTCCCTCCCTGTGACCACGCCTTCAGTACTTCTCCCAGAGAAGGTTTGCAGTCCCTGGCAAGGGCAGGAAGGAAGATCCCCAACCCTAAGCCCAGGAGGCACAGCGGGCTGTGGGAAAGTGCCCCAGGAGCTGCACCCTGGACGGTTTTGTAGGCAGAGGGACGAGCTAGCTGACCTGAGCCAAGGCTCTCTCCACCTCTGCGCTCACTCTCCTCCCCTGCGGAGGGGATCAGCCATCCCGACTTGTGACATGTCTGATATGACATAAGGAAGAGGAAGAATCTACTTGGACCAAAACAGCAATGACAGGGAAGAGCAAAAAGATTCCCTCAAGAGACTCGGCTTCCAAGTGCTCCAGGCTCTGCTCTGCTACCCAGCCAGAGTGTGGTCAGGGAAGGGCGGAAAGGATTTCAGGATCTAACAGCAGCTCTGACCTCCAGGCCCTGGGACATGCAAACTTAGACCAAGCCCCTTACCGGGGAGATGAGACCATGATATGAACACTGCTACAGACTGACTGTGTCCCCCAAACCTCACATGTGGAAGCCCTAACCACCAGTGTGACCAAAGGCAGGACCCATAAGGAGGTAATCAAGGTGAAAGGAGGTCCTAGGGTGGGGCCCTGATTAGGTATGATCAGTGTCCTTCTGAGAAGAGACACAGGGCTTGTGCCTCCCCTCCTCGCTCCCTGCCATGTGAAGACACAGCGAGAAGGCAGTTGTGGACCAGCCAGCAAGAGGCCTGAGCAGAACCCGAACTGGCCGGCGCCTCAGTCTCACCTTCCCACCCTCCAGAGCAGCAGGAAGTGGAGTCCTGTTGGCCAAGCCACCGGGCCCCAGTGTGCTGCTGTAGCAGCCCGAGCAACTGGCACAGACACATCACAAACAGGCACTCAGCTGGCATTCAAGGTACTCACCCCCACAGCAGGACTCTGGCCATCCCGCACCCACAGATAGGACACAATGCCTTGGTCGTCGGTAGACCTTGAACCATCCAAAGTAATGGAATTATTGGGAAGGACGAGAACATGCCTGCCACCAGCCCGGGCTCTGGGAGGACTGTTACTTTCTATGTCAAGTACAGCAAAAAATAAGCAAAGACATCGATTTAAAATGCTGGTGATAGAAAGCAGGTCATAAAATACCCACAAGTGTTCCCTCTTGCAGAGATGCAGCTTTTAAAAACTTAAAAGACATTATTTTCTGCCCCAAATACCTGCAAGACAATATATAGACTTTCTTACAACTCTGTGCTTAGCTGTTTAAGATTGGGGTGAAAAGGGCAGGTGGCAGCCTGGACACTGATGACTTTTCTAATATATATAATAATGTGTTACTTCTCTTTTTAAAAGGAGAGAAACATTGATCTTACAATGTTCAGGGTCCAGAAAGTAAAAACATTTTGATTTAAAACACACTCTAGGGTTGGGTCAGTGGTAGAGGTCTTGCCCACTATGTGCAAGACACGGCCAAGAAATAAAAATAAAAACAAAGCAAATACACCCTGGGTCATCTTTTACTGGTCCACACTGTCTGACTGCAGAAATGTCTGGATTTTTTAATATTATCAAACTGGTAGAAAGTGATCAGCCCCTCCCTCCTCTGATGAGGTGTCAGATAGAAATGAGACAGCATAGAGCCATTTCTGATTTGACACTCCAGGAAAGAGGGCCGGGGCACCAGCAGGGACGGGTGCCACCAGAGGCACAGGGCTGGTCTGGAGAGGAGGCGGCTGCAGGGCGAACCCCGCTTGTTCAGAGGGCTCCAGAGTCTCCTCCCCACAGGCAGCAGCAGAAAACAGGGTCAGAAAGTGTGAGGACGGCCTTGGGCCTGAGCCTAAGCAACTCCATTTAAAAACTCCCACTTTGAAACCTGCGGTCTCACCAGGTGCCTACGGAGCCCTCCAGTATGGTCATGAGGCACAGCCCTGACATGAACGAGCCACTTCCCCCCACCCTGACAAGCTCAGCGCGAAGTCTCTGTCATGTTGTCCTTGCCCCAGTAAGGGGGAGAGGCAAGAGAATCAGGGTGAGGACCTCCAGACCAGATGCCTTAATACCAGGGCAAATGACATCACTGAGAAACCCGGTGGCAGAATTGAAAGGGTGGTCGGATGCCCCCAAATGTAGTCTAGGTGATGGAGCAAATGAGCAGACGTTCAGCCAGCCGACACTGATGCCCTCAGGCTGGAGAGCCTGGTGAGGACCTGGACTCACATCCCAGCTCTTCTCATCCGCCTGATCCTCTGCATTGTTCCCATCACTCTCAAACTCTACAGCAGCCTCCTGACTCTGGTGAGAAAAGGACTTCTCCCCATGACCGCCTCCTCAGCCAGCCGTCAGCTCCACCCCAGGAGAAGCCTGCCTCGGTTCCTGATCTGATGTCAGGAAAAAGTGAGTGTGCATCTGCTGGACTTGCGGCTTAAGGCTGGAGACTTTTGATCTGACACTTGAACTTGGCTTGCAGAGGGAATGTCTGTCATGAGCCTGTCATGATTAAGTGTGTTTGCAGTGCTTAGAATTAATTAGTCTAGAATTGTTTGCTGTAAATTGATTATGTCTATGCAGTGCCCAGCATTAAGGATTGTCCTTTTCTTGATTAAGAACCTTTAGAATGAAATTGTATTGAGTGATTTGAGTGAATAAAGCATCGAAAGGGCAGAAGTGTGTGGACATTCTTTATTTCTCCCCCCTCGACTGCATAAGTCACACCTTTTGCCCATCGTGACAGGAGGCCAAGGCTGGAGCCCGGGGATCCTTAATATTCCCTGGTCCCCAGGCTGGAGACTGCAGCAGAGACAACTGGTCCCATTTCCAGGCTTCCTACTTCCCTAAGTCCTGAGATGGGGCTCGGGGCAGAGTGCTTGCCCAGCACACACAGGTCCTGGCTTGATCCCCAGTACAAAAAAAAAGGATCTCATTTACCACACTCCATTAGGGGTGGGACATGGGGAGGGGAGCGAGGTTCACATTAAGGAGGCTCAATTCCAGGTGAGGGATGTGGCTCGGAGGTAGAGCACTCACCTAGTATGCAAAAGACCCCAGGGTCAATCCCCAGCAACACACACACACACCAAAAAAAAAAAAAAAGACACAAAAAAATTAATTCCACTGTGAAAAAGGGGGAAGGTGCTGAAGAATAGAAACAAACAGGCATAAACTGAGCCCAAAGGCCTGTAGAAAACAACACCGAGGTTCCAAGTAGGTCCATGGCAGGTCCAGCACTTCCCCTTGGTCTGTGCTCTTGAACTCCAGTTATATGCTCCCTGACCCCTGCCCAGACACATCATTGTCACCAACTCAAAATGTCCAAATCTGCATTTAAAACCTACTGCTGCTCTTCTGTGAATGCGATTTCCCTCACCACCCACCCACATGCCAAAGTCACGAATCTTGGTGCCATCACTGCCATCCCTCCCAGCATCATGCCACCTCTCTTACCCTCAGGTGCATTTCTAAGTCCTGAGAACACACGCTCCCAAGGTCTTCCCAACGTGTCCCTTTTCTCCCTAGTCTCACCTTCTTGGCCTCTAATAAGGTAATAAGGTTCCCGTCACCTCCTGCCCAGATGACTCCACATCCCCCACATCCTCCCGGCCTGCTCTTTTCCGTATATACACTTCACCACTGAGCTACACCCCAGTCATGCCATCTTCCTAGAAATCCACGTCTTAAAGTTGAAATGACATGGTGCTAGGGTTTGCTTTCAAACATTCCCATCAAAGTAGACTAAGCTGCGAATTGATCAGAGGAACAAGAGCAGCAAAGCAGTGTTGGCCGTGGAAGGTGCCCGCGGCACACGAGGGGCTTTAGGGCTATTCTGCTTTTATGTGTGGTTAGAAATGTCTACAATAAGATGTTCTTGGAGATCCAGCTCTACATCACTCTGCTGATGAAACTGCTCCAGCCTCACCTACCTGCCAGCTGCTAGGCATCACAGGTGGCAGTGCACCCTTCGTGGCTGAGCCTCTGCCTCAGGCCCCAGCAGCTGTCCCCACAGCCCCACGCCCTGGCCCTTCCCATACCACATGTGCATCTTTCCGTCAGCCATGCTCTCCTTCCTCTGTGCTTAAACATGTCACAATCGTCCATTTTAGTCCTTCCAACTAACCAACATTTGTGACTGCCACGAGTCCAGCACTGCTTTATAGAGAGGATGAAGAAACGGCTGAAGCAAAGGGCCCGAGCCCTCAGGGCCAAGGAGGCATGCAAGAGAACAGAGCCAAGAGCAGTTAACAGCTAGAGGCTGGGAGCACCTCTGAGCCGAACTCCGACAGACAGCAGAGTGTGGCCGCATCTCCAGACCTGGGCTTTGGTCGCCACGGTCTCTGAAGGAGAGTGGAACTGTTACAAGATACTCAAGGAAAAGGAAAGGTGCTTCCTTGCACAGGGCTTGGGGAGAGCTGTGCGGCTCCGAGGCTGGCCCTGTGGGAAGGAGGGAGTGAGCACTGACATCTCTACCCGGCGGGGCCCAGGGTCCTGCTGGACACGAAGGCAGGCCGGTGGTCTACTCACCCTTCTTCACTGCCAGAGTCAGGGTGGACGTGCTGCTCAGCCCCTGCTGGTCTGCCACTGTGAGGCGGAAGAGGTGGGTACCCACCTGCAGCCCTGTGACGGTGGCCACAGCCCTGTCCACGTTCTCCATCTCCACTGCACTGGGGCCTCTGTAAACCAAGACAGTGAGAACACAGGGAGGGCGTGGCGCGCTCAGGCAAGAGTGTGGCCGCCCCACAAACGCTGCCTGCCGCTTCCGGGCAATGTGCACACCCAGAGTATCTTAAGGTGACCTTGTGTCCCTGGTACACTCCAGGTGAGCCTAACCGTCAAGCGCCAAAGCCTATTTTCTACAGTCAGCTGCGCTCCTGGAAGAAGATACCTGTTCTTGGTTTTTTATCTTAGTTAGCTGCCAGTGAGATGATCTAGCCTTGGAAACAGAATCTTAGAAACTACCCCTTTCTTTTCCTAATAAAATTGGGTCACAATCCTTGTCCACCTTTAGGGAGCGCATGGAGGAGGGTGAGCCAGATGGCGGATGTCCTAAGAGGAATCACGCGGTGCATTAAGAGGGAGACGTGGTTCTCAGAAGACCTAGGTTGAGCCCAGCTCCTTCTCCTCCTGCCTTGGCAGCCTGAGGCCATGTGATCTCAGCGGTCCTTGTGCATCTTAGGTTTTCAGCTTCAAAATGCGAGTAACACTCGTAATCAGCCTCTTAAAACGTCGCGTAGACGTCCAGGAGATGGGGCGTGTGAAGCTCGGGAAATGCTGGGTCATACTGAGCTCTGAACTTCCGTGGCCTCCAGTCTGCGCAGGGTGGTGGGGCGCAGACAGGGCTCCCCGAGGCCCCCCTGAGCTTCTTCCATCCCCAGTTCCCCTCACACCAGGACAGCCCTGCCACCTGCCCTGGGACCCACGCCCTGCAGTCTCTGTCCATCTTGTCTGCACTTGGTGCACTCTTCGGCCAACCACGCCCGGTTACTTCTAGAAGCCTGCTCGAGTCCTGACTGGCTGCCTGGTGCTGGTCCTCCAGGGAGGGGACACTGTCCCTCAGCATGGCTGTGACCCCTAGAGTGGTGGCTTGACACCCACCCGATGTGCTCCCAGTGGTAGCGGACGATGCCGTGGTCGTCACTGCTCCGGCTCCCATCCAGGGTGGCACTTTGCACTGGGAAGACCAGCTCCTTGTCGGGGCCGGCCACGGCCACGGGAGGCCTGTTGTTTCCTAGAATCGCAGAAACCGTGTGAAAAGGTCCCATCTCTGCCTGAAGGCTGCCATCCTCTGACTTATTGTTCTAGACATCTATCTGATACATAAAAACATAAAAGTGGTACTTGATACTTGATAACGGGTACCATAGAACGTTCCATGCGTGTGTGCACTGCCTAATGTTTACATCAGACGAATCTCCTCATTTGTCAATTTTTGGTGGTGAAAGCCCCTGCAGATATTGCCCCCCACTGGTGCCTGTCCTATGGGCTCTTGCAGACCCTGTTGTCCCCTGCTAAGTCCCAATCATGTTGTACCACAGTTTAGAGACAGAATCAAGACAAGATTCTGAACTTGAAAGAAAACCGGTTCTCCGAGCAGCAGCAGCTCCCAGCCTGACGTCCTGACGGCAGCGAGGTATAGAGACTTTCCTGCCCAATTGGTCACAACCTAAGCCCAGGGGCCCGATTACTGTTCCTGCTTCCATCCTGGGGGCCAGATCTCATTTCCATGTCACATACCAGGCTGGACAACCACAGAGACCACAGCAGTGGACTGCTGACCGGCGGAGTCTGTCACCAGCAGCCGGAAGGCGTACTCTCCTTCCTGCAGAGCAGACAGATGAAGGTACGGGGTCTGTGCTCCCTGAGCAGCAGCAAATGCAAAGACAAAAACAAAGAGATATTAAAGAAGCTCAAGTAAAGAGTGTGACATATGCAAACTTATGATTTCATCTAATACAGAAAATGAAAGACATATGAACCCAGGAAAATGGAATGTGTAGCCCACTGTGTATCCTCAGAGCATTGAAGGAATTAGGTGAATATAGCCCAAGAGACAATGTCCATCAGGATGCACAGCGGGCACATTCTTACCCAGCAATTCTCAGCATCTACACCAGAGAAATGCACAGGAGGCTCACCCCAGGGGCTGACCTAGCCCAGTGCAACAGCAACACAAGGGAAGCAAACCCACTGCTCACCAACAGGGGAGTGGCCAAGGCCACCGCGATGCACTATGGAATGCAAGCTTAGAAGAGAGATCCTCAGGGCTGGGCTGCGGCTCAGTGGAAGAGCAAGTGCTTAGCATGTTCCAGGCCCTGGGTTCCATACCCACCAGTCAAACAGAAGAAATTTAAAAGAATGAGGTAGCTCTAAATTTTTAAAATGAAAAATGTAAAGACATATTAAGCAAAGAAAAAAAAAAGACATTGTATACACTGTGATAGTATCGCTACACACACACACACATACAAACACATAGAGAAGATTCTGGAAGCGCACCCATTTAACTTATCAAAGAAATGGCCTCTAATAGGGGACCTGTAAGAGAGTGGTAGTCAATATACATTTTCACCTTATCCGAGTTTATTTGAGCTGATTTTTAAATTTTTCCCCGTAAGAAGCAATTCATATATTACTTTTGCAATCAAAAATAAATCTGGGGGCTGGGGTTGTGGCTCAGCAGTAGAGCGCTCGTCTAGTGCATGTGAGGCCCTGAGTTTGATCCTCAGCACCACATAAAAATAAATATATAAAATAAAAGGTATTGTGTCCAACTACACCTAAAAAATAAATATTAAAAAATAAATTTTAACATTAAGGCAAAAAACATAAACAAACAAAAGCAACACCGTTTTTCAAAAGGCATGCTCTCAGCCACACTCGGTGCCTGCAGGTGAAAGTCCTTTTGCGGTAGAGCAGGGGCTTGGCATGTGCATGATGCTGTGTTGTCGCTGGTAATAGTTTCAGTTATTCTTACATTTGCAGTTTGTGGCATCAGAAAAGAATTTTGACTTTAATCCTATTTCAATTTATTTAATTTTAAATATCCCAGAATTGCCTAAATATCAATGTGTCTGTATTTCTTGAGGTTTTAGGTGGAAAATTGATAAAGAAAGTTGATACAATATCAATTGTGTTATCACAAGGAATGGTATTCTGAAATTTGAAATGCATAAACACTTAAGAATTTTAAAAGAAAATGCTTTCCTCTATTTTCCCCTTCTGGTGCTAGGGATCAACCGACGCAGGGCCTTGTGGACGCCAAGCCCATGCCCTGCCTCTGGACTCCCCCACAGACCCTTTACTTTAAACAGGCCAAGCACATTTCTCTGAAAATTTCAACAGAAAAAGCATAACTTCTAGTACTTGGCTCAAAATTGATATGGTCAGAGAGATGTTCACGCACACGGGAACTGAGCAGACCATGGGCCTGCCTGAGCAAAGTGTCTACAAAGAAACTCTGCAGAACCGGCAGTTCCCTTCCCCAGTCTGCCACACAGCCTCAGCAGGCTGCCTGGTGTGGTTTTCAGGCCATGCAAAAGGGTCTGGTTCTCAGAACTCGACTTTGTGGTGGCCCCAGCGGGTACGAAGCTCGTGCCTTGGGACATGTTAATCAACCATGTGGCAATAACATGTTCCTGTGGCCAGTCTCTGGGCAGGGAGAGAGGGGTGTGCAGCCACTGCACTGCTATGGAGAGCCAGACTCACTCGGAGAGCCGGACCCAGCCCCCGTAACTTCCCTCCACTACACGTCCAGGGTGGGGGGTGGATTCTGAGGGATTAGCTCTGGGCACATAAGGCTCAATAATTATGTAAAAGAAAATTTGGAAGAATCTCTTAACCAAGGAAATATGAAATATCAAAATAGCCCATCCTTCCTTTTGTTTTCTTCTTTAGCCAGTACTGGAAACTGAACCCAAATTAACCTCAAGATCTAGCCATCAACACAGGACGGCTTGGTTGAGAGGAAAGGATGTGAACTTGGAAGGGTTGGGAGTTTAGGTGCTCCTCTAACAGTGCAGTAGTCTAACAGACACACTTATGAAAGCAGACTTTCTGGACCTAACTGCCCCTGCCCCAAACCAAGACTCAATTGGTAGAAATAAAATATGGATGGAAGGATGGATGCATGGGGGAGTAAGGTAGATAGATAGATGGATAGATAGATGATAGTGACAGGTGACACAGATGCTGCAGTTGATAAGGGTGGACTGATGTAGATGATAGAAATGGACAATAGAGATAAACACAGAGAACACTAGAGATGGACGATACAGACAGACAACCAAGAGTCAGGAGCAGGTGGAGAACGTGCCTGCATGGCCACCTCTTTGCTCCAACTGCTGGGGTCCAGGGACCACTCATAGAGGACGATCTGGTGATCATCACTGCTCTGGTTTCCGTTCAAAGTGATGGAGTTCTGGGGCAAGGTCATGGTCTGATTTGGGCCTGCGTTGGCGACAGGTGGGTGGTCCACAGCACTGCCGACGGTCAGGGTGGCAGTGGTGGAATTGGTGGCTCCATCAGAGTCAGTGACGGTCAACCTACAGAAAGGAGAGGAGGCTGTGACTCTGCAAGAGCTTGCACACCTGGACATGAGTGGCCAGCTCAGCTGCTCCTGGGCACAGTCTCCAGAACGGCTCAGAACAGGCAAATAGAAATGAGGATGAAGTTTAAAGAAGCACACAGACTCAGGGATGTTTTTGCCTGCTTTTCTTCCTGTTGACTCATCTTTGTTTATCTTCTCATGTCAAAGTGTAGGGGCTTCCCTTGCGGCTGGGATGCTGGGTGGAGAGGCCCCTTGGCCAGAGCAGCTGCTCCCCACAGCTGAGACTAAGAAGAACGGCGTCCGAGGTAAGTTCTGCCTTCAGTCTAGAGCACTGGGGGACAGTGGACCGTTCTTGGATTTTCAGCTAGGAAGCTCTTTAATTTTTCAACCCTTTTCCAGAAGCTTATGATAAGTGTTTTCAGGACACTCTGCAAGGTAATGTTGGGACTCAACACTTTCAAATACAAAGTGATGCTCAGTCCACCAAAAGAAACCAGCGTGGACCCTCCTGTACTGATGGAATGAGTTAGTTGGAAATGTAGTAATAAGAACAGGATATCCCAAAGGCCACTTCGTCCTCCTGGGGGATGACGGTGGCTGGGCAGTGGTAAGGGCTAGGTGGGTGAACAGGAATGTGGGGATGAAGACCAAGAAGCAGCTTCAGGGAGGTGCCCTCGGCCTGCGCATCCTGGGCCTCCTCTCCCGCTGCCCACCCGCTCTCTCCAACCAAGGTCCAAACTCCCATTTCATCATGTATGAATTTCATACTAATAAGTAACTAAAGTGATAGAGAAATATTTTAATCATAACTTTTTTAAAGTTCCTTAGGCTTTTATATCAGAAACTTTCCACAAGTCCACATTGGAAAATCCTCAAATAAAAAAGTGGTTGATAATGTGTCTATAATGTTGCAAACACCTGTAAACACACACAACTCTGACCCAGAAGTTTCACTGATACCCTAAAATGTAGCCGTAAAGATGTTCACTAAACAGGGAATGACGAGGCTGACTTCATAAAGGACTACTATGTTGTAGCACCACAGCAGCCAACGTGCAGAGAAAGCCCAAACCAGACCCACCAACGAGGACATCTGCTAGAGGAAAGACGTGCACTGCAGAGTGGGAAGGGACAGAGGGACAATGAGTAGTACCAATGCCCAGGTGGGGAAAACCACAATTGAGAGACAACCCATTCCAGATGGATCAAAATTTGAACATGAAGGATTCAAAATTTTGAACTGTTAGAAGAAAATATGGAAGGTAGGTTGCAAAACACCCCATATGTCTTGATCCATGTAAGAGAAGAACATTTTTGTTTGTGAATAGAAAGGGGCTGTGAGGGGCTGGGGCTGGGGCTCAGTGGCAGAGCGCTTGCCTAGCATGAGTGAGGCACTGGGTTCCATCCTCAGCACCACGTAAAAATAAACAAATGTCCATCTACAACTACAAAAAAAATTTTTTAAAAAGAAAAGGGGCTGTGAACTTAGATACCATGAAGAAGCCATGAGGAAGTTCACCCCAGATACATGAAATCAGATTCCGTCCCTCTGTGTCCTTGGGCCTGGCTTATTTCCCTTAGCGTAATGCTCTTGGCATCTATGTTGTACCATCTATCCAAATTTCATTCCTGGGTTTTTTGTTTGTTTGTTTATGTTTTTATTGTTTTGGTTTGAACCCAGGGGCACTCTCCCACTAGGCCACATCCCTAGCCCTTTTTAGTTTTATTCAGAGACAGGTCTCACGAAGTTGGTTAGGCCTTACTAAATTGCCGAGGCTGCTTTGAACTCACAATCCTCCTGCCTCAGCCTCCCGAGCTGCTGGGATTACAGGCGTGTGCTACTACACCAGGCTCATTCCTGTTTTTTAAACTTCATTCCCTTCTAAAGCTGAATATCCCTCAATTGCATGTGCATATTTCATATTTTGCTTTTCCATTCATCTGTTGATGAATGGAAATTTCAGCCACCTGAAATTCTGCTCCATGCAAGGACACCTCTGCCTCTCGGCCATTGTGAACAACACTGTGGTGAACACTGGAGTCCCTGCTGTCAGGTCCCTGGGTGTAGGCCCAGAGACAGAACCGCTAGGTCATGGGTGATTCTGTCTCAGCTTTTGGAGGAGCCGCGATGCTCTCAGCAGCTGCCGGCGGACATGCCCCCTCAGCCCTGGGGCTTCCACTTCTCCACACCCTTGGCAGCGCTTGCTATTTTCTTCCCTCCCCTCTCCTCCCCTTCCTTCTGTCCTTCCTTCTTTCCTTTTTAGCAATCCAAACGTGAAATGGATGAATGATTTCTAAGCTGACATTTCAAATAAACTAAAACACAAACTGATTCAACTGTGTGCAAAGCCTGCAAGACTCTGGAGTTCCTCTGTGGACCTTGTGGTCAAAGATAAAACCCAGCAGGTTCTGAAGGACCCCAAACCAAGCCGGACTCCAGGTCTGCAGACCCATGGGGACGGCTCTAGGTCTAACAGCTGGGAAGCAGCAGAAGGGACACCTCATGCAGCCAACTGAAATTCTGCTCCAATCAAGAAGAGAAGAGCTAAGTGAGCAAACGGTCAATAGGGTCAAAGAGATAACTGGGAGCACAGTCTCGGGGTCACAAGGGAGACGGGTGGGGGGTGGGACGAGTGTGGAGACGGAACTCCCGGGAGGTCAGAGGACAGAGCCACTGTGGGAAAGAGAACTGCACTGAGCCGGCCTTCCCCTCCTGGCCGTTTGCCTCTCAGTCTCCATCCCCGAAATGCAAATCTGTGTCCTCCCAGAGACATGCTCACGGCAGCTTTATTTATAATTGTTCTGCCACAGAGAACCCAGATTTCAGCAGGTGGAGTGGGGTGCACCTGTATCCCAGATACTTGGGAGGCTAAGGCAGGAGGATGGCTTGAGCCCAGGGGTTCAAGACCAGCCTGGACAATGTAGTGAGGTCCTCTCAAAAAAAGACCCTAAATGTCCATTGTAGATGAATGGATAAATGAATCATGGCATATCTATTGTTGGGACTCAGAAGATAATACCCCAATATATGACTTTTGGGGGGCATACTGAACAATTTTATGTAAAGGGAAAGACTTTCTCTGGATTCCCTTCATCTGCACTGAGGCCTCACCTACCACAAGGAACACACCTGCCTTCCCTCCCCACCCTGATACCCAACTGTCCACGGCAGAGAGGAAGGTTGAGGAGTGAGCCCACTCTGATGGACATCCCTTGAAGCAGTCCCCACATCACGCATTCCCCGAAGAATCGCCCAGGAGCCTCAAGTGGTTCACCTCTAGCAAAGGGGCCAGAGTTTGAGCAGTGTTGAGTGGGCGAGTTCCCTCCATGTCCCCTCCTCCTGGCCGGGAGCGTCCTCCCCTGCACATTACTAAGCCTTCGGCCTTTTCTCCTGTCTGATCTGTCAGTTGACGACAGCGAACCCTGGAAGGTATTCCTTCGCTCCTGCACCCTACGCTCATATAGACTCAGCCAAGGCAAGGGAACCCTGTGATGCAGATAACACAGGTCAGCCTCAGCGCAGGCAAGGAGCAGCTGCGGTGCCCTCCAGGGACACAAGTTACAGAATGCAAAAGGTCAACGGTGGCAGGAGGCCCGTCAGTGGCTGCCTGGAGGGGCAAGAGGAGCTTTGGGGGCAATAGAAATGCTCATTGACTCCATCAGGGTGGTGGCTTCACAGATGTGCACATGGGCCAAGAGTCACTGAGTTCCACAGTTTGAATATGTGCAGTTCACCTTACTTCAGTTGTACCCTAGAAAGTCATAAGAAGGAAAGATTGAAATAGCCATGTAATTAACAATCACATAACTCTGCCTCACTTTGAAGATGCAGAGTTTGTTTTTTGTAACTCAACAGAGCAAAAAAGGTGCTCTGTTATAGTCCCCATTCAGTTGCTGACACCCAAACCAAACACTTCCAGTGAACAGGTCACAGGAATCAGGGAGAATCAGCCTGCGGTGGCGCCAACCAGAACCCCGAGAAGACCAAATTCACCTCCCCTGTGGACCAGGATAAAAAGCACAGCAACTTTTAGGCTTCAATTCAAGGAGGCAGTCAAAACGTAAGTTCTGGGAAGCGATGAACAATGGCAACAGGACCCACTTGCCTGACGGTGTGGTTGCCAAGAGCAAGGTTAGCCACGCGCAGGACGGGGGCGTCGGACAGGTGCTGCCCCGCGAGGGGCCCGCTGACTGCTTCCCAGCGATAGCTCACTATCTCAGAGTCATCTGTACTCCCTAAAAGGTCAAAAGCAGAAACCAGAATGAAACCCAAGAATAGTAAAGCATAAACTTTGTGACTTATGTAATTCCAAATTTAAATTCATTTTTTGAATTTATTTTTTTGATTGTTGATAGAACTTTATTTTTATTTATTTACATGTGGTGCTGAGAATCAAACCCAGTGCCTTAACATGCCAGGCAAGCGCTTGACCACTGAGCCCCAGCCCCAGACCCCTTTAAATTCATTTTATATGAGACTCTTACATAGAGCTCAATGACAAATATTATGTATTAGAAAGGACCATTTTCCTACTCCCTAAATTATCACTCTGTCTTTCTCCTGGATTTGGGCAGATCCGAGTGAGGACGTTTCCACAATATGAATATTTAAGAAGCACAGTGACAGTGTTGCTTTTTGAGAAAACAGGTGTGAAGAGCAGAGCACATGGAGAGGCTGGTTCCCCTCGTCCCCTGCAGGAGGGACCCCACTCACGGGTTCCGAATCCCCTGATGCTGACCGTGTGAAGAGCTGCTTCTCTGTCATTCAGACAAAGCTTCACTACAGGCATTATTAAGGCGTGAATCTAGAAAGGTCTGATCCTGCATGAGAAGTTCCCACTTAAAGCACAGAAAAATGTTTCATGTGGAATTATAGAAAGCAAGACCTGGCAGGGGGCCCATTTCATTAAAGGAAACCACAGGTTCATGTGGCAGAATAATTCTAATTTCTTGTAACTAAGCTGCACTGAATCAAAATTCGAGGCGTCTTCTCATGGAAACACTTCCATTTAAAATATGCCTCATCTTCATGTCGCAAGGGGAAATGTGGACCTGCCCATCTGGACAGATGCAAGGGTCAGGTGGGCGTGATCTCTGCGCCCTTGCAGGCCAGGAGAAGGGAGCGGCCCTGGCTCTTCTCCCTGCAGCCAGGACAGCTCCCCATGGGATTTGCATTAGCTTTGTGGTCAAGTGACATGACACGCACATACCACACACACTAAGTCTGGTGAAGCAAGTGAGCACACATGCCAGGCTCTTCTTATCTGCGTGGCCACCTGTAACCCCCTGGGGCCTCTCCACTAGAGAGAAGGAACCCTAGTCACATCAGCAAGGGACACTTCCACCTCACTGATGGCAGCCCACTCATGCTACTTTAAAGTGGTTTTCCAACTACTCTTTACATATGTCACACACATCCACAGAAGCCTCTTGAGTAGTGGCTTTAGGTCCAGGTCAAACAGCTGGCCCTAAGAAGTTCCTTACAGATCAAGGTGACAGCGGAAGGGCAAGGGAGCACAGACAAGGACACAGTGAGGACAAAGCTGAGGAGCTGTAACAGAAGTTAGAGGAGGACACACTCATCACGTGTTGGCTAAGTCCCCAGGCCTGCTGCAGGGACAGTCAGATCCTGGGGGTGGGGGGCGAAACCCAGGCGCATCAGGGGACACACACCGCTGCCATCGATGAGCGCTGCTGTCGTCAGCGGAGCGAGCTTCTGTCTCTGGGGAGAAACAACAGCCACTGGAGGCAGGTTGACTCTTCCGGCTGGGAGATAGAAAAGACAGCCCTGAGCCCAGGCTGTGCGTGCACAGGTCCACCCAACACGACCAGCGGCTTTTTACCCTGATTTACCCTGCCAAGAGGGCGTCTCCCCGCAGGCCTCAACCTAGAGAACGTTCTGACGCTTTAGAACTTTCCTGTGAATGTCAGTGTCCTCTGCAAGCTCACATTTCTAACTGTGACCAAGGCCCAGCAAGACAGGGAAGAATGACACGGGGTGGGTCCCTCGGTCAGAGCAGCAGCACAGACTACGGCTTCAGCTCCTGTGATTGGCTGCGTCTTGGATCTTTGACTGATGGTACCCAAAGCCACCACCATGCTCCAGCTATGATAAAGATCATGCAGAGTGGGCAGAAGGCAAGCTGCCGACCTGGGACAGGGAGGAGGGGACCTGGCAGAGCTCTGTGGCGCAGGCTGAGACCCCACCCTGCTGAGGGGTGGTGGAGGATGAAGGCCGGCTTGTGGCCTACTCACTGACCAGGGCAAAGGCCACTTGTGGCCCCAGGGCAAAGGCCACCTGCTCTGATTCACATGGATGCCCTGACTTACAGCCCAGGAGTGGACACAAAGCCCACGGCAGACCTGTCCCCCGACTGGAAACATGTATAGGTGGTTAACATGGTAGGTGGCTCCAGTGGATGTGTTTAAAACACCCCTGCTCCCAAGCTGAAGCCGAGCCCCGGGGGCAGGAGGGCAGGGGAGTGGACGGAGCTCAGAGAGGAGGCTGAGGTCCAACTGCCACCCCTCAGGACTGAGCAGGCCTAACTGCGAGTCCAGCAGGTACTAAGCAGTCCTCAGACGGTAGAAAAACACAGCCACCTGGGATCCTCACATGCCTTCCTATCATGGAGCCTAAGGTAGAAGTTGAAACCTCCAGGCCATGTCACCCAGATGCCAAAATCAAGATGACCCACAGAGCAGCAGGCCATCCGTCACACCTACCTGGCTTCACAGTGACGTTGACAAAGCCCTCTCCAGAGGCCTTCTCACCAGAAACGGCCACCTTGAAGGTATACAGTCCTGCTGACAACTGCAACATAAAGTCACACAGGAAGCATGCCCAGCCCTGGCCGATGCCCCCTGGAGGGGCTAGAATATCCCTGGTGTGGCAAGGAGGGGCTCAGGAGAAAGCCCCCATCCCGTCTGTTCAGAGACTGCCGTCTGGTGGCCACCTGAACTCCAGGACATGGAGGTCAGCTGGATGGCCCTTTCGCTTAGTTACAGCCAGCACAGGCCTACAGAGGCCTGAGTGTAGAGATGGACCAGCCGGGGGCAGCAGATCTCAAATGCATGGAAATCATGCACCTTTTATTTTTTTCCCAGAGCTGGGGACGGAACCGGCCACTGCCCCACTAACCCAGGTCCCCAGCCTGGAACCGCTGATGGTCTGGGGAGCACACTAAGCAATGGAGCTCAGTGACAAGAGGTGGCATAAGGGGTGTGGCAACTTCAGCTGTGTAGTCTCGGGAGGTGACAACGACAGGGTCCTCTGTGGGAAACCAGGTCTCAGGATCAGTCAGTCAGGAAGAGGGCAGCTTCCTCCTGGGGACCTTATCTCAGAGCAATGTCCCACAGGCAAAGCAATCTGGGACTGCAGTGGAATTACGGGCACCTCTGAGGAACGCCTGACTGGGAAGTGAGGGGACAGGTGGCTCTGTGCCGCAAAGCTGCGGGATCAGGACGCAGGCTTTAACCCTGCACAGCGGGCGCCGGGCAATGCCTGTCCCCTGAGCAGATATGCTAGCCAAAGCCTTTATGTAACCATCTGCCCAATCTACCTGCATGGCTTAAGCTGCATGTCCTCCTTCTGGATGGGCTCCGGCAGCTCTGCTATCTCAGCCTCTGCCTGAGACCTGAATCTGGGTTCAACAGGTAAGACAGTGCCAACTGGGTCCAGTTACCTACTTGGGAGAGGTGAAGAGTCGGCCTGTGACCTTGCTCAATGTCACCCTGGTAATCTGCTGGGTGGCTTATTAGGCTCCATTCATACTTGTAGGTTGTTTCTGAGAGAAAATAAGAAATAGGAGCAGTTATAGGTTTGGGGCGGTCACTTCATAACCTGGGTTGAGAGGGAGGAGACAGCCATAAGCCCAGGAGTGTGGACACCTCATACCCTGACTCAACCACTGAGCCACACCCCCAGCCCTTTTTTTTTTTTATATTATATTTTATTTAGAGACAGGGTCTTGCTGAGTTGCTTAGGCCCCCGCTAAATTGCTGAGGCTGGCTTTGAACTTGAGATCCTCCTGCCTTAGCCTCCTGAGCTGCTGGAATTACAGGTGTGAGCCACCGTGACTGGCAGTTCATCCTCTTAATGGGAATATTTTTTTTATTATTATAAAAACATAACTTATAGAAAGTTTAGAAAATAGAAAACAATAAACAACTACAAAGAAAAAAACCTTCCCCGATCTCTCTGCTAGCCTTTCCTTCCAGGTGCTACGTCGGATCCTCCCTGTAAGTTTTAAGAGGGTAGTACACTGTACTTTCTCTCCTGTTAATAAAAGGCAAGGGGATTTCAGCCCATTTGATCTTTATAAGGTTTATATAAGGATATGAGAATGAACTGGACATCTCTAGGTTAAGCTAAAGCCATCTCCCACCTTCAGATATGCGAAAAAAAAATGAGGTACCTCCTCTCAGGATTGAAATGCATGTCAGGAGGTATCCGCTCTGCTTATAAAATCCCAGCCACATGTGATGGGAGAATGAGCCAAAGGAACCCAACTGAATGACAAACAGCCAAAGCCCTGAAGAAGGAGTTACCTTAGGGAAAAGGGCATTTGACCACCTGGGGATAGGTCAAGTGTCCACTGGCCAACAGAGCTCTGGACACCTGCAGAAAGTACTCTGGACTTTTTTTGAACAGCTGACATGAGGTGTCTGCAAACAAACCTTTGGTCACACACTGCCTCCCTCCTCCCGGGGAATTTCCTGGGCTCCATAAGTCCCCACAGATGGAGCTCTGCTACCTGACACCCTGCTCTCACATGGTGTTCTGAGTTTTCCATCCTGGGCAATTAAAGGTTATGCAGTGCGTGTAATCTCTTACTCCATTCAAGACTGAAGCCGGGCCGTGGTGTGGCTTAGGAGGCTGAGGCAGCAATTTAGAGAGGCCCTAAGCTACTCAGCAAGTCCCTGTCTCAAAATAAAATATCAAAAATGGCTGGGGATGTGGCTCAGTGGTTGAGGGCCCCTGAGTTCAATCCTGGTACCCCCACAACAACAACAAAAAAAAACTGTTTGAAGAAACTTCTTTGCTCATGATCATCCAATCCTAGTCTTCCCTCAGAACCTTGCTTGGTGCTGTTGCCCAGAGTTGTGAAAACAACTGTAAAGACCTGCTCCGGGAGAACACCCACCCCCACCCCGACTCGCCCTTCCCGGGAAGGTCACAGAGGAAAGTCAGACTCACCTGCAGGTGGCGCTGGCACCACGGAGGCCTTCAGCTCCACCCGGTCCTGGGGCAAGGTCACTACCAGGTTGTCTCCGGCCGACACCCACAGTTCTTCCACTGAAAGGAAACCAGGGACCATGCATGCCCTCACATGATGTGCCCACTCCCGTCCCTGCCCCACAACAGGTTTGTTCTTAGATTCAATAAAACAAAATAACATGGTTTTGTAATCGTGCTTCATCGTTTTAAAGGAAGTCACTTTTGCCCCCTGGTTAGTAACTGAACTGTGCCCTTGCCATGCTTCGAGACAGACTTTGTGAGTCAGAGCCATCCAGGTGGGCTGGCGCTGGGAAGAGGACGGTCAGGCTGAGTGAGTTTCTGAACAAGGCGAAGGCTGCGGAGTGGGTCTGTCTCCCACCGCCCCAGCTGTCCTGGGCTCCCCATCAGTAGTCATGAGCGTTCCTGAGCCGCAGATCACACACGCATTTCTGGGCAGCCAGGAGGAAATTCAGGCAGCCTCGATATATGAAAAGGCCACTTTAGCTCAAGCAGCCGGGACAGGGGCTCCAACAGGAGCACAGGGCACCAGCTCAGCACTCGGAACAGTGCTCCTGGGCTTGGCACCAGGGTTACCCCCACTGTGTCCTGCCATGGTTCTGCAGGCCTGCTGGGCTGGACACTAGTGTCACTCACAAACCACATTTTGATGGGTCAAAACACAATGCAGAAAAAAAAAAAAAAAACAGTGAAAACAAAATCTGAGCCCTCACCAGAAGTCTCAGCCACGGGGAGACGCTGGAGGCACAGGGAGCTCAGGCAGGCCCCCTCGGCCCTCAGTCCCAGGCCCCGGAGGCTGTAGCCACTGAGAGGCCTGGAGCCCTCCTCGGGCTCCCCCTCCTGTCACTCTCACTGTCCAGGCCCCCTGTCCCACAGTGGGGAAACAGAGCCCCGGAGAGGCACAACAAGCTGTCCGGGGCCACCTGGATAACTAGCCAATGCTTATTGGTCCACCAGGATTTAATTAGATATACCGATTTCAATACCAGATTGAACTGGGCCAAGCACTGCTCCAAAGGCTTCCAAAAAACCGTGTAATCCTCCCAACCTCACATGGCAGTGTGAAGCCATAGGTCCCTGAAGAAATGGCCTCTGTTAAAGATCCTGCAGACGGCATGGCCTGGGCTGAGGGCCACTGTGACTGTGCAGACATGGAACGCGGCAGGTTTGGAGCCACAGTTTCCTTGGGTTGCCAGTCCCTTGAGAAATACAGCCATTTACTTCCACCCTCTGTGTACCACCCACGTTCTCCTGACTAGTGAACTTCTCAGAATGGTTTTGAGCTAATAGACCTCTAGCCCCCACGGACCCTAAGCTGAGCTTGCTCTCAGATAACATCTGAAACCTGTAAGAAGGACTGTAACAAGGACTTCCAGGCTGCTGTTGCCAAATGCACTGACTCTTGGGCCTGCAGCTGGGCGCAGGTGCCTGATGGGGAACTCACAGCAGGATAAAAACTCAAGCATCTCTCCCTCCATTTAGGGGAGGGGAGTACTGGGATGGACCCAGAGGCACCCTAGCTGTGAGCCACATCCCCAGTCCTTTTTATGTTTTATTTGAGAGTCTTTATAAGTTGCTGAGGCTGGTCTTGAACTTGCAAACTTTCTGCCTTGGCCTTCCAAGTAGCTGGGATTACAGGTGGGAGCCACCATACCTGGCTCTAATCCTGATAACCCCAGCCTAATTCCCTCTTAAGATTGGGAGCCACCTCGTCACAAAGGCATGAAAAGTTCATGTTGGCTTTACTATAAATTACTGCGATTATTCTAAACTTGCTTGGAATGCCTGCCCGTGCCTTGAACTCACTCATGCCTGGCTTTCCCTGACCAGATAACAACCCTCTCTGAAACTCTAGTGGCGCCTCATAAATTCTGACGTCGGGACCTAAATTTACTCCCTAAGTGCTGAATCATTTAGACCATTAACCTACTACCTGCCTTTGTGTTATGCTTGTCAAAATCCTGTTATCTGTAGGTTCTCAAGACACCCCCCCCACACACACTTTTTGCAATTTCCTTGCTATAAAGCTGTGCTCCTAGAGAGCTGGGGTGCTGTCTTCTGTTCACACGGATTTCGGGAGAGACAGCCCCGGCCGGTCGGAATTACAAGCTTGCTTTAAGTGGATTTAAATTGGAGTCGGTGGTCTTTGTCTCATGGTTTAACAATCCCCATTTTGAATCTGTCCCTTCTGCTTTAAGACATTCTGTCCTGCCATCAGCTTAGATTCCACAACAACAGGTCAGATGGACAAATATCTCTACTGACCAGGCAACAGCCACCCTCCCCCCACCAACCCTGGGATAATAATCAACCAGGCCAGTTTTGAATTAACCCTTACTACTCGGCCACTGGGACTTAATTTTTAAATGGATGTGCTTCTTCCTCTTCCTCTTTCCCAGCCCCTCCCTAATCTCAGGGGAAACAGGGTTACCTTTCTTCCCCACCCTAGACAGAGTTATCTGTCCTGAGCACTCACCCACCACAGGAACAAGTAATCCAGACTTTGGAGATGGCACTAGAAGATCTCAGAAATATCTGAGATCTCCCAAATTAACAAGTGAATTACAACTTCAATGGGGAACACATGGATGTACGCTTTAAATCACCTCTTTAAAAACCCCTGTTCCCTGGGAATTGCACAGAACTCCCCTGTGCTTCTCCTTGGCTGGTAAAGCAATAAAACTCCTTGTTCCTTTTTGTTAAAATCCTGTCCTCCTGACTGGATTGGCACTGGGGACACTGATCGAGGTTTTGTAACAGTTTTGAAGCCAGAATTAGACAGGCGGTATAGGTAGGTAAATGGAGTCAGGTCAGATCCAGTCAGGCCAATTTGAGTGAGTCCAGCTAGTTGGAGACTGTCCCCTGAGGGATTGAGACGTTAACTCCTTCAGAGCCCTTCCTCCACCCTTATCCAGAACCTGTCCCTGCTCCAACCTGTTGCTAAGGTCACCTGTCCCAGGAATTGCCCCTCCCTACAGGGAGCTAGAAGGTTGTTAATGTGTCCTGGGCTGCTCCATCCTGCCCTTCCCCCTGCAGCCCACCTGTTCCCCACCTTTTGGGCATCCCACTGAGCACTCCTGGGCCTAGTCACTTACACAGGAAGGAGAAAGAGAAGAGGGAGAAGGCAGGAGAACAGAGGAAGCCTGGGACATAGAAAAGGGCAGAACACCTCCTTCTTGGGATACCAGGACACCAGCTGTGGCCCCTTCTGCCTCCAGGGAGAAGTCCATGTTACCCCTTTTTAAATAAACCCTGCTTTCTATGCCTGACTCGGCGTGCTTCTCTAATGTTCAAACTTCAACATTTGAGGGAGCAGAACTCGTAACCATGACCGGCGGTAACAGTTTGACCAAGACTCCTTAACTGTGAGTACTCTGATCCATGGTCTATGCTCCCCCCGCAAGACATGACTGAGGATGTGGGTCTCCTTGTGTCTCTGGTGGGCTACACATTCCTTCCCTGTCTTTGCACTGATGGGCTCTTGGATTGGTCCTTCAGATGGGTGGCTGGATCTAGTCTGTTGAGATCCCCGAGCTGGGCCTTAACTCTAAAATTCTGGTCACAAGCTTTTCTGCTTTACTGTAGCCACCTACCTAATGTCCCCACCAGTGTTCATTAATACACTGATTTATCGTTTTCTTTGTGCTTTGGCTATGAAGGTTAATCTCTTTCATGGAGGAGCATGTCATTCAGGGTGACCCAAATCTGTGCTCCTGGGCCATGGCCACTAATATTTGACTCAAAATAAACTAATTTCTTATTTCCTAAAAGCAGAGTTTATTTTACATTGACAGTAGGACTGTTAGAACCCAAGGATCCTGATTCCAAGGCCAGTTTCCTTTTCCATATTCCACACAGCTTCTCTTCCACCATTAGCTCTTTCTGAACCTCAGGATCAAAGTAAATTAAAAAGGTAAAGAGGTGTCAATAAAAAAACATCAAAGTTGAGTATCATTGGCTCAGGGCACTGAAAACGAGTCAGCAGGGCCTTGTTAGTCAGGTCTAAGACAAGTTGGACTGGAGCCACTGCTGACCTGCTGGACAGGGAGCCCTCCTTCCCTCCCCCCAACTATCAGGGACGGAATCCACACCAACCTTACCTTCTGCCAGCACCAGTCAGTTCCTGACTGACCAGCCAAGCCTGGAGGAAACAGCAAACTCTAAAAGCTGAGCTGCCGTACTCTACCACGTGTCAGCACAGTCCTTCCAGTTGGGATTACCTGTCCTGGGAGCAGCGGTAGGAGATACGGGTGGCCCCGGAGTGGACCCAGGAGGGACAGCACTACTGGGGACGGTTGGGATGCTGCACTCTGCGCTCTGCGGGGTGGCTGTGGGAGCAGAGCTTTCCTCCAGGGCGGCTGGCCTGAACCCCAGGCTGGCAGAAGGACTCTGGGAAGGCTTTAGCACCTGCGAGATCATTCAAAAAAAAAAAAAAAAAAAGTCTGATAAACCAGCGAACTCCTCAAGCAACGCAATGTCACCAACTTTCATTTCTGTTACAGAAGCACCGCAAAGGGGCAGAGGGTTTGTTCTCTGAAAGGCTCCGCGAGACGGTCACTTTTTCTGCTCCAGGCCAGGCAGGTGCCTCGAGAGGGGCCCGGCGACGCGCGCAGCCTGCCCCGCGCACACCCACCTCGCGCCCCGAGCACACCCACCTCGCGCCCCGCGCACACCCACCTCGCGCCCCGCGCAGCGCCCTTCGCACACCCACCTCGCGCCCCGCGTCGCCGCGGGCTCGCAGAGAAGCCGCGCCCTTCCCCAGCGCCCGGCCGGGAGGGGGCGTGGCGGCCGAGGGAGGCGGATCGCCGCTGTCCCGGCTGTGCTCGGGGGACGCGGAGCCGGCCGAGTCCTTCCGCGAGGGGGGCTCCGGGTCCCGCGGCTTCTCCGAGGACGCCGCGGGGCTGTGGCCGTCGCCTCCGGGCTGCAGGCTCCAGGCCGCTGGCTCGGCGCTCCCGCTGGGGCCTTGCTTGGGGCTGGGCTGCAGGAGACTGGGCTCCATCTCCCCGTCGTCATCGGAGGGCTCAGCCATCCCCGCCATCCCCTCCATGCCCCGGCCTTGGCCTTGGCCTCCAAGGGGCAAGTCCTCCCTGGTACCCTCGGCCGGGTCCCCCCAGGCCCCCGCGGCGGCGGCCCTGCTCAGCATCCTCTCCCCGTAGTCCAGCAGCGGCGCGGGCCTCCCCTCGGGCCTGAGCACAAACACGAGGTACGACCTGAGCGGGCCAGTCTTCTGGGGCGCACAGTTCTCCTCCTGCGGGCAGCTCACCAGGAAGCAGCGGCCCTCGAACCACCAGGCCAGGTCGCAGCTGGGCAGGTCGCAGCACGCGGCCGTGCAGGCCCCCAGGGAGAAGGTCTGAGGCACTGGCACGATTCTGACGGTTTCCAGGTTGGCCGGAATGACGGCGTTGGGGTAGGTCCTCCCCTGGCTGCACTGCTGACAGGCACCACCTGCAGGAGGCAGTGCACAGTGAGGACAGAGGCGCCCTGCAGGCATGCCACTCTGGAAGCGGGACTCCCCGTCTCCTAGAAAGACCACTGCAACATGACAGTCCATCCACCAAGCTAGCTACCTTCCCCCACGTATCCGTCTTCCACTCACCCACCCATCCGCCCCTCGTCCTTCCACCTTCCGTCCGCAGGCCCTTCCCCCTATCCACACACCACGCAGTCTTCCAGCGCCTCACGACTCCATGCCCTTCAGTGAGCAGAAACCTTCTTCTCCACGTGCATATCGTTTTACATCATTCACAATACTTTGCTCTTCACGTAAAATTAAGTCACACAGGTTTACTTCTGGGAACAGCATCATATCTTTGGGGTTTTGGTTGCAGTTGGCAATTGATTTTTTCTTTTTTAAATTTCACAGGTTATTCTGATGACAGATCAGTCAACAGAGAAATATCCAAGATTGAGAAAAGGTTGTTCTCTGTACATATCTAGAACCAAGTAGTCTTAATCAGATTCTCAATAACCAGAAGAAGGCAGTAACCACCACAGGCGATGACACTACTGAAGTGGTCTACTATAACTCACTCCCACCAACTCCATGTCAGACCAGCTTTGAGAAGCTTCTATAGAAAGGTGTCATTGCCTGAAATTCAAGGGCAAAATCACTTCCCTTGTATTCTTAATTGTTTGGTATTTTACAGAAAAATCAGTCCATGACAGATTGGACACAAACTGGCCTTGCCACACACAATTTTAAAAGCATTGTATTAAAGTTTTGCTGCAGAACTCAGAATGACAAGAGGTTTCCTCCCTAGTTAGGTTCATCACTAATGATTCTTTAAATAACTGAGTTTTTGGTTTTTTTTTTTTTCATATGAAGGAATGTCAGAGGTTGTTCTAACTGGAAATAGTGTAAAAGGCTATACACAGCCTAGGAATTATTTTTATGTTTCCTTGCACACACCATAAGTTTTAAAATAACCCAAAGCCAAACCTTGACTCTATGAAAATACTATTTAGTCCTATTTGTTTATTTGTTGGCACTGGAGATGGAACCCAGGGCCTTGCCCCTGAGTTACACCTCCATTCCTGTTTAGTCTAATTTAATACGAATTAGGTATCCTAGATGTTTTTCTTCTCCAGTGCATAAGATAGCAACACACTAAAATGAAGTGGCACTTCTCAAACATAAGTCTACTCTTTAAAATCATCCAAATAGTTTTGTCCTTTTATTTTCTAGAAAAGAGCTTCATCTGTGATATGGAGAAAGTAGTGATATACTCCAGCTGAGTATCACAAAATAGCATCTCATCAAGATCAAAGATGATGAGAGGTGAAGAATAGAGAGAATCTCCCACTCCCAACTCCACTCTCAAAACCATTGTGTTTAGAGGTATCACTGCATCTCTGAGTGGCCTTTAAATGAAGACCCAAGCTAGACCCATTATTTCACACATGAATGCCAAGGTATGCTTTAGTTTCCTTGAGAAATAGTTGGGTCATCTCCTTTGGACAAAGTGATTCAGAGAAAAATCATGTTCATTTCTGGCCTTGGCTCCCAGAAAGCTCAAGAGCCAAATTTTAAACTACGTCACAGGAACCACCACATAGGGAAAGCTGTGACCTTGGAGCACACATAGTTATAGGGGTGAAGAGAACTTCCTGTGGAAGACGTCTTCAACTCAAGCTTAGCCAGTTTCAACTGGGCGGGAGGAGGCCACGGGGCAGACCATTCCTATATTCTGCAAAACTTAAGCAGAGACATTACTGCTAAATAAGGAAATCAGGAAGGTGGCTGCTGACAACAAAATCATTTTTGCTTTGTTCAAGTTTCATAATCACTTTACCATCTTTACAGCACACTTGACTGAAGGAGCACCAAATTCCTGGAACCAAGGAACTGTCAGTAATTGTATGCTCTTAAATCCTAACCCAATCCATGAACATTGTAGGCATTTGATTGTCGACAATAAAATCACTGGTTAGCATTTAACAAAGGCAAATTGCAGATAACATTATTGGGACTCAGTAACTTAGGAACTGAATTTGTGAACTAGTGGACGGTACCTCAAAAGAAAATGGCAGACAGAGCTAGCATCTCACTAAAACCTATTTGGTCTTAATTATATAGAACCCTACAATCATTAATTTCATTAACTTAGTTGTCGTCTCAAAAAAAGAACAAAAAGGAATGGGAAAATGTTCCTTTGTGTTTTAAAAATGGATGTCTACACATTAATATTAACGAAGGTATTTTTCAGAGCATGTTTAACATTCTATCTTGCACACTAGCGGTGACAGGAGTAGATGGGGGTGGTAAACTAGCATGATGGGCAGAACTTTCCAAAGTGGCCCTTGCATCATCTAAAATAGTGCTTCCCAAAATTTAGGTCTTCTGAACCACCGCCAGGTGCTAGCTGAAACCCCAGATCTCTGAGCCATGCCCTAGGAGTTCTGACTCAGCAGACCTGGAGTGCAGGCCCCAGGACAAGGGTCTCAGGCTATCCTCACCATGGCCTCACAATGGTTGACGAAGTCTGTAAATGAACAGTGTTAGAGTCTGTAAACAAGTCAGGATGGCGCCTGGCATTTTGCCAGGGGAATGTTAGAGTTAGAGTTCGTAGACAAGTCTGGATGGTGCCTGGCAAAATGCCAGAGGGAGTGGTTTGAGAAGTAACAAAAGCAAGCCATTAAGTGTGGAGATTCCTTATTGGTTGACTGATGTATCTAGTTTATGCTAATTAGATAAGCTGTGTGGAATGTATAAATACTGCTCCTGTCCTGCAATAAACGGCTTCCACTCCTGCTGTATCAATCTACACAAGTTTTTTCGTCACCCCCCTTAGTTTGCTGCAGCCGGACTGCGGCAGAAGTTTTCCCAGTGTATCTCCATCCTCAACCCCTGGTGCCCTCTCCCTGGTTCGGCTGGTGTCCTGGGCCATCAGAGCTGAGACTCTCCAATGATTTTATGGTGCAAGTGCATCCACTATAAGCAAATTGAGTATAATTAAAATAAAGACCTATGAGAAAAAAAGAGTCTGATACTTCCAGAAATACCTATGATGTAAGTCTTGTAATTCTACAAATACAAATTTTTCCTAAGATATATTAAATGTGATTTTATTTTCCCACCAAATAGTCATGAGAATAAAAAATTTAAATTCCAGTTTCTATAAAATCAGGGATGCAAGCTGGTAGTGTGCTTGCCTGGCATGCCCAAGAAAAAGAAATCCCTTCAGAAAACCACTTATGCATAAGGTCTGCTTTTTACACAAAAACCAAATCTACTGGAAAGCAAAAACACCGCACCTTGGTGTTGAGTGGACCTGAGTTACTTAGACAAGGCCCAGTGGCACAAGCTCCCAGCCCTGGTCTCCTACCTGCCAGGGTCACCACCAGCAGCAGTGAAGCCAGTGAAACTGCAGGGGGCGTCATCCCGCAGCTCGCAGAGGGTGATGGCAGCCTTCAGAGGCAGCAACTCGGGTACAGCCAGATTGGCCTCTAGGTCTTCAAAGGGAAAACAGAAAAGAGACAGGAAGGAAGAACAGAGTAGGTAAGTGTGCAAACAACAAAGCTGGCCCAAACTCCCTCAGAGTCACATTCCAGGCAGCCATCTGTCCAGAGGGGCTGGTTCAAAGGGTGAGTACAGTTCCAAGAAGCCTGCCTCAGTGGGCTGTGGAAATAGCAAAAACCCACCAAAGGAGAAGCGCAAAGCAATGAACTCAGACTTGTACAGCAAAGGACCCGGCCACCATCAAAGGACCTTGGCACACACTGAATGCAGACGGGGGACCGGGAAGGTTTTAAGGTGGAAAAGGGGAACAGCTTCAGTGTGCACTGCCTGGAAGCTGCTGGCATGACATGCAAAAACAGCACACAGCTACCTAGAAGTGTGGCATCCCATGTGATGGAGCAGGGAACATGGGTGGCTTTCTCAGGTCGGTCCTGAGTTGGAAGAAGACATAAAAAACAGGGAAGCTGTCAGTCACCGATGGAGTCCTGGCCATGTAGGATTAATTGTTGCAGAAGTTATTGTTTAGCTTCCTGAATTATTAGAGATAGCACTCTGGCTTCCTACAAGTCTTGCTGATAGCAGGCCGCTTCCTGGGTGGCCGGTTTGTTGAGTTTATTGCTGCAGGTTATGGCTCAAGGTCCTACTTTTAGATATGGTCTGGCCGTTTTCCACTTGTGTATTCGGTATCTCACAGCCCAGACCTGTGAGATGATGACACAAATCATACTGCTCCATTTCTTCAATTCTAGCATGTAAATACTTTCTCATTTTGCCACCTCTGACCTCAGATGTCTTACAGCTGCAGTTGGCCAAGGGACAGGCAGGATTACATGCTGTGGCTTGTGTGTGAACGTGAACCATGCAGCATGGGTGTCTGAGGCTTGGAAGAACATCTCCAAAACCACACGAAGGGGCTGGAGGTGTAGCTCAGTACAAGTTCTTAGCAAGTTCACAGCCCCGGGTTCCATTCCCAGCTGCAGCAACAACAGCAGCAAAAGTGGAGCACTCTTACACAGCGCTGTGCCCGCCCGAGCTCCTGCCAGCACCAAGCAGCTCTGTGTGGCCGGCCATAGTAACTGAGGTGGGACAGAAGAAGTGAAAGGTGGGTAGGAAGGGAGCAAAAGAAGTTAAGGAAATAAGATTTTAACGTGGAGGTCTGCATGCCTTCCCATCCTCAGTCTCCCTAAGCCAGTTCCTCCCAGGCCTCTCATTCTCTGTGAACCTTGGAGGTAGTGGAGATTCACCCACCTACACAAATCACCTCGTGCACAGGTAATACAGACTAAGCAAGGACAGGATTTTTTAAGAAAATCCTTCCAGTGTTATCTACTACTGGGTTAAACACTGACAGGTGCCTAGGAAAGCTTGCCAGGAGATAAGAAGATCCTAGAGAATGTGGTAACAAAGAGAATGGACTCAGGTGGCTGGCCACCTCCCTTTTCCCCAGTCTAGGAGAGGAGTTGAACAGACTGACCCTGGTTGTAAAGTAAGGAGTGTGCTCCTGGAACATCTGCGGCAAGCCACCTGTTAGGGCCTGCGGCCTCTTCGGTGCAGCCCCCGCCGGTAGGCACGGTGAGGCCTCCACTGAACCCTGCTGCCACTGCCAAGGACTGAGTAATAAAATGCCCAACCCTCTCCGCTGAGTCCTCCAAGCTCTTCTCTGGGATGGGTAAACAAGGGCATCTGCGGCCCTGGGGATGGACACCTACCCCTCAGGTAGTGGAGACCAGCCTGAGGATCCAGAGAATAGACACCATGAACCACCTTGACCATCAGACCCAGGCCAGCTCCGGGCACCTCCTCACCCGAGCCCTCTCTCCAAGTGTCCTTTAAAAGAAAAACCTGAGAATCCCCAGCCATCTGCCACTCTTCACATGGTCCACGTTCTCCCTTCCATGTGTGTTCCTTGCTTTCCTAAATGAATTTCTGTGTCTCTGAGGCATCCTTGAATTCATTTCTGCAACATTTGTTAAGAACTCCACTCCTTATGATTGAGGTCCCCCTTTGGAACTCCTTGGACTTCCTCCAGTAACTGAATTGGTAAGATGTCTGGCAGAAATTAAGAATGTGTGTGTGCATGCGTGTACACACACACACTTTTTTTCTTTGAGATGGAATCCGGGTGGACCTCAAACTGCTGAGCTCAAGCAATTCTCCTCCCTCAACCTGCCCCCTGGCCAGGACTACAGGCACACACCACCAGGCCTAGCTAGGAACATCTATTCACACTGGGGACTGAATGATTCATACTGGGGATTGAACTCAGGGGTGCTTTACCTCTGAGCTAGATCCTCAGTCCTTTTTAATTTTTGAGACAGGGTCTTGCTAAGTTGCTGAGACTGGCCTTGAACTTGCCATTCTCCTGCCCCAGCCACCTGAGTTGCTGGGATTACAGGCGTGTGCTACTATACCAGAATATTTTAATTTATGTCATTTACATCTTCTTTTATACATGCGTGTTGTGAGCCACCCAAGGGCTGTGTCTGTGAGCTATGCGTATGTGAGTATATGAGGGGACTGGCCTGGTGGTACTGCCTGATTGGGCTGTGTGACATATGTGTGCCCTTTCTCTCGTTCTGCCTGTGATCCCACACAGCACCTGAGATGGGTGCGGCTTTCCAAGATATCGGTCAATCTGCTGACCACAAGACATCACCAAGCGAGAATCCACCCTTCGAAACCCAATCCCTTGCATTATTTGGGTGGAACTTTCTCAAATGACTTTCCCCTAAATAAAAACAGGGGTTTGGGGTGTGCTTCCTCTCTTGTTCCTTCCAGCACTGGAGCTGACCCTTGGGGTCACCGAGCTGTCCTGCCTTAGAAACTTACGCTGTGGGCTCTGTGGTTTCTTCTTCGTGTTTCATAGTTATTCATACAGCCAGCTCCTTTGAACCCAGTCTGGCCAGCTGGCGATGCATGTGCACAAAAATGATTTATGATAAACATGTTTCTAAGTATACCCTCCTGTCATTCTGTTGATATAGATATTCTAAAGAAAAAGAAATGTGTCCTGGTTTGACAGTGTTTTTGCCTCCTTAGGGTTATTTCTTCTTCTCCTTTGCTGCCTTCTTTTTTGGGGGGATGGGTGTTTGCAGGGATTGAACTCAGGGGTGCTTAACCACTGGCCACACCCTGCCCTTTTTATTTTGTATTTTGAGACAGGATCTGGCTAAATGCCATACTTAGCATCCTCTTTTTGCCTGGCACCTTTCTCAGTCTGATCTTCACAACTCATAGGATGATTATCTTAAGCTAATGGCGGGCTGGGGATGTGGCTCAAGTGGTAGCGCGCTCGCCTGGCATGCGTGCAGCCCGGGTTCGATCCTTAGCACCACATACAAAGATGTGTCCTCTGAAAAACTAAAAAATAATAAAAATTCTCTCCCTCAAAAAAAAAAAAAAAAGTAAGTTAATGGGCCTCCCAGTGTGGGGAGTCTAGAGTCCATTCTCTGGACTCCTGGGGACTCTGAGTACTTGCTAGGATCTCAGAATGAAACGCACAAGCTTGAGTCCTAGAGATCTAGAGAGAAGTTTCTGGAACCTGCTGGGAGGTCAAGCTGCTGCTCAGGTAAACCGGGTCTTGGTTCTGGTTCACCTGGGTCTCTCCCCACTCACCCCTCAGTCCCCTCTCCAGCCCCAGGTGTGCACAGAGGACAAGTCTCCTCACCCCTGTTTCTAGAAGCATCTCAGTACTCCTGAGAACTCCCAGGTGCCCTGTTGGAGGAGGAGCAGTGGGGAAAAACCACAGAGGTCTCCCCATTGGTCATGCAGTCAGCTGGTGGCCAGGCAGGAGGCAGCCAGACAGGGCGAGGCCCTCACAGACACGCAGCATGGCCGCCTCTGGCAGAGGGTGTTTGGAGCTGCTGCACCTTTGCTTTAGGGTTTTCATCAAGAAGCAAAGCATGGGCATGTCCCCTGGGCCGGAGTCTGGCCATTGACCACTCGAAGCGCAGCTGCCCAGCTACGGCCACACTGGCCAGTGCCTGGGGAACAGAAGGGGCCTGTGGGGCTTCAATCATGGGGCCGAGCCAGGCAAGGGGCCAGGAGGGAGCAATGGCGGGTGACCTCAGCCAGCTTGGGAGGAAGGCCCCAGGCCCCAGGCCCCCTGCCAGGGTAGTCGAGGCCCTGGAGCAGCGGCTCTGAGAAGCTGAAGCAAGGGTGTGAAGAGTGAGCAGAGCTCCCGCAGCAGAATCTGCCACCAGCTGCTTCCCTCCCTTCCAGAGAGAGAAGGGTGGTTTGAGATGGGAAGGGGACACAAGGGGAGATGGCCGTTAACCAAGACACAGAGTCACCGGCCTGTGCTGGGGATCAGACCCAGGGCCCTGCACAGGGCAGCAGGCACTCTACCCCTGAGCTGCCCGCCAGCCAGAATGAGATTTATCCAGTGGCCCACAGTGCTGGGCTTATGAGGGCAACGCTGCCACCAGCCACAGGGGTGGTCGCCGAGGAAGGACCACACGTTACCTTCAGCCAGATTAAGAAAGCGCCCCTGGGGCAGATGGACCGGGAGGCACACAGCACGGCCAAATGGGCTGTGGCCACATCTCCAGCACCACCGCCTGTGAGGGTCGCCTGGTGTTTAGGACGAACTCCACAACCACACTGCACCTGGAGGACAGCCTGTCTACGCCCCCTCCTGCAAACTGTCAGGCTCAGCCGCAGAAGCTCCCACCCAGGACCAGGTCCAAGGCTCCCCAGGCCGGCCAACGTGGCTCTAGACTTGCTCTCATCAGAGGGCACAAGTACTACCTGCTATGAAAGGTCCCGTCACTAGGCTGGCAGCAATTAATCAAAGGTTTCAGAATGGCCAGCAGACAGAATTTTAAATGTCCCAACACAAAGGAATGATAAAACCTAATCCCATCATTACGCATTGTGTATCTATATATCAAAATGTCATGTCAGGTGCTGTGGTACACGCCTGTAATCTCTGTGGTTCAGGAGGCTGAGGCAAGAGGATCCTGAATTCAAAGTCAGCCTCAGCAAAAGTGAA